GGAATATTGCATGCAGTTTTGATGAGGAGAGGATAAACTTGGCAGAGAGGGAGTGCAGCAGAAATTCACTGGGCTGTTACTGAGGATTGCAGAACTGTTCCATGAGCGGGATTGGTTTGATTAGGCCTTTATTTACTACAGTTTAGAAGGAGGAGAGTGGATTTGTCTGAAACATACAAAATTCTAATAGGGCTAGATGTCAAGCAGAGTGGATTGTTCACCTGACTGGGGAGTCTAAAACCAGAGCAGAGTCTCAGGCTCTATGAGGTAGGCCATTTAGGATTGCGATGTGGAAACATTTCTTCGTGCAGAGTGTGATCAATCCATAGAATTTAGTCTCACAGAAGGCTGCGGAGTCTACTGAAATTACTGAGTAAATTCAAGAACAAGACTGATAATTTCTTTTAGATATTAAAGGCATCAAGGAGAGAAAGCAGAAACATGGTATTGAGATACAGGATCAGCCATGATCATGCTGAACGGCAACGCAGGCTTTGAGGGCCGAATGGCTTACTCCTGCTCCTAGTTTCAATGAAGGAAAGAAAACATTGATTTTTTAATTTTACAAAATTTTCTAGAGTCTGGAACAGTCCCCACGAAGGTACAAATATAATCCTGCCATTTGAGAGATGAGAGTGAGAAACAGGGATCAATAGGCCAGTCAGCTTGACTTCAATAGTATGGTAAAATGCTTTAATCTATTATTGGGGACATCATAGTTTAGGAGGGATGTGAGGGTATTAGAAAGAATGCAGAAAAGATTCACGAGAATGGCTCCAAAGATGAGGAATATCAATTAGGTGGATGGATTGGTGAAGCAAAGGCTGTTTACCTAGGACAGCAGAAGACAACATGGGGAATGATTAAGATGCTCAAAATCATAAGGGATCCAGAGAAATACAAGAGGAGAGGATCTGTTGCCATTGGTGGGAGGATCCAGATGCAAAGCACACAGATTTAAGGTGACTGGTGTGAGGAAAACATGCAAACTCCACACAGACCGTCGCCTGAGGCTGGAATCAAACCTGGTCTCTGGAGCTGTGAGATAGCAGTGCTAACCACTGAGCCACCGTGCCGCCCCAGGGCCAGGGATATAATTCGTAGGCTCTACAGAATTTCCTGTTTCAGGGACCCTTACTTTTAATCCATGTCCAATGTACTTCTAAACCTTGTCAGGTTCTATTAAGTGCCTTCGCAATGCATTCTGAATCCTATAAAATTCTGCAGCACGAAGAGGCCATTGATTGACATCCAGTCAGTGGTATCACAGCACTAAATAAAAACCAAAAGAACTGCGGATGCTATAAATCAGGAACAAAAACAGAGATTGCTGGGAAAGCTCAGCAGGTCTGGCACCATCTGTGAAGAAGAAATCAGAGTTGACTTTTCTTCAGAACTGATGGTAGCTGGGTGACCACTTCACAGAACATCTACGTTCTGCTCGCAAAAAAGACCCAGAGCTACTTGTTGCCTGCCATTTTAACACACCACCCTGTTCCTTGGCCAACATCTCTGTCTCTGGCTTGCTGCAGTGTTCCAGCGAAGCTCAGCACAAGTTGGAAGAACAACACTTCATTTTCCACTTGGGGACCCTGCAGCCCTCCGGACTCAATACCACGTTCAATAATTTTAGGGCCTAAACTCTCCCATGTCCTAGCCCCCTAGCCCACATACCAGGCCTTGTTATCACATAGCCTGCCATTATACACTACCTATTGCTCGTCACTAACAGACCCCATTAACAACTAATCACCCTCCTAGCCAGATCGTTACCAACTCCTTTGTCTATCCAACTGCTCCTCTCTCTCTCTTCGGGCTCTATCCTGTCAATTACTCCTTACCCCATGCCCGTCCCTATTTTCTGCAATATAAACCGATGTTTCCCAGCTACCATCAGTTCTGAGGAAGGGTCACCAGACCCAAAACGTTAACTCTGATTTTTTTCTTCAGATGCTGCTAGACCTGCTGAGCTTTTCCAGCAACTTCTGATTTTGTACCACAGCAATTTTGCCAATCAACTTAAATTGTGTGAAATCTGAGCCATCCTTCAGTCATTGGAAACATTGTATTTCTTCTAACACAACACAGTTTTACACTTCTCCAAAATCTCTCAGACTTCTTCACTCTAAAGACAACATCTGTTTTTGTGTAATCTCTGGAGCACCTTTGAACTTTGGGCAGCATGGTGGCTCGTTGGTTAGCACTGCTAATACCTTGGGAACGTCCTGTCGGCCAAAATAGCACTACCTTCTAATATGCCAGTGCAACTTTTAGCCGCCCAAGGAAAAGGATGTTCGAGGACAACAACATGAGATCTGACACCCAGATCATGGTTTAGACAGCTGTGGTGGTTCCCGCCCTCCTATATGGCTCTGAGATATAGACCATCTGCAGTGGACACCTCAAAACGCTGGAGCAATAGCACCAATGCTCTCTGCGCAAGCCCTGTTGGGAAGAAAGACGCACCAATACCAGGGTCAAGGCACTGACCACCTTTGATCGGCTATGATGGGCTAGGCACATTGTCCGCATGACTGACACAAGACTCTCCAAGCAGGTGCTCTACTCCCAGCTTTGAAATGGTAGGCAAGCCCCAGGAGGACAGAGCACTTCAGTCATACCCTCAAGGTCTCACTGGCGAAGTGCAGCATTGCCGCAGACACCTGGGAATCAATAGCCCAAGACCATCCAAAGTGGAGGAGGAGCATCCGGGAAGGAGTTGAGCACCTTGAGACTTGCCGCTGGCAAAAAAATAGAAGCCAGATAAAAACAGCGAAAGGTGCACGCACATGCTGCCACATCAACGCCTCACCCCTTTCCGCAACAACCTTCTGCCCAACTGTAGCAGTCTTTGGAAGCTGCTTCAGTCTGTACAGCCACCCACAGAGTCACGCTGAGAATGGAAGAGTCATCCTCGTCTGCGAGAGACCGCCAATGATGATGGGTTAGCACTGCTGCCTTACAGTGCCAGGGACCCGGGCTCGATTCCACCCTCAGGTGACTGTCTGTGTTGATTTCGCACTTCCTCGTGTCTGCGTAGGTTTCCTCCGGGTGCTCCGGTTTCCTCCCATAGTTCCAAGATGCGCAGGTTAGCTGGACTGGCCTTGCTAAATTACCCAGTGTGCAGGCTAGGTGATTAGAGGGATAGGGTAGGGGGGTGGGTCTGGGTGGGATGCTCTTCATAGGGTCATTGTTGATTCAATGGGCTGAATGGCCTGCTTCCACACTGCAGGAATCTATGAACTCTCTACGACTCCTCTGCACATCCTCCAGATGCCCAGAATTGGAAAGCAAAGGCACAAGGGGTTATTGAGGATCAGCAAAACCTCAATTGTTGTACTTACGCCTCTACTTATAAAGCATATTGAAGTGACAGGTTTCAGTATGATACATTTTACAACCATGGTCTTGTCAGGCATTTGCACATTACTTAGTCATTCATATTATGCAACCAGCTCCATTTTTTTGGACCCAGCCCTAAGTCAAAATAGCTTTTCTTGCACATACTTCTTGAAATTTTCTCACAGGCTACTTTTTGAATGTCAGAAGCTATGTTTTTGCTTCTCTGGGCCTTTTTCTCACTGGTAACTACTTTATCATGGAAAGCAGTCACAAAGTAACTGTACTTTATGTATTCAGTGTAATATGGGGATTTGGACTCAAGAAACAGAATTAGAAGATTTCATCAATATCCTCAACAATCATCACTGCTCCCCATCAAACAAAGTCACAGCACACCACAAAAGCATCACTATCCTAAACACCAAGTATGCAAATTAGCACAAAATAACAGGCTTACGATCACAATCAAAATAACTGATAGACACTTCTAAACAAAAGAAAAGCCATCACTCTAAGTACACCCAGCAATGACTGATGAGGTCAGAGCTTACATGCAAGAGTTGCATTTCTAAAATATAATCATGAAATGGGAAGATTTTCTGCTTCTAAGATGTCAACTAAAAATTTAAATTTTACAATTGACACAATTTTCATAGAAATGCGGAAAACAGGACAAGTAATCCATTCGGCCCTTTGAGCCTGCTCTGCCATTCAATATGACCACAGCGGATCATCCAACTCCCTGTGTCCTCCATTTCTTCTTTATTGTCTTCAACCTCACACCCAACTTTATCATCTGCAAACTTGAAGATGTTACATTTAGTTCCCTCATCTTATCCACTAATTATGTTGTGATTAGCCAGAGTCCAAGCACTGATCCCTGTGGTAACTCAATAGCCTGGCACTTGGAAAAATGAGCTGTTAATTCTTATTCATTACAATAGCATTAACTACATTTGCCCCACATACTAGCTTCTGAACTTGTTGACCGGTTTAAAACTTTTGTGTCTCCTCTGCAGCCTCCTTGACTATCTCCCCACCCTGAGGGCCAGACCACCTCATGTCAATCCTGCCAACCTGTTCAACCACTTGTATTCCCAGCTGCTCCTCCAATCACAGGTCAGTTCTCTTCTGCTGTTGAAGAAATCTGGATGAAAAATAGCCTATAAGCGAAAGAGCCAGCTCCTACCTCACTGTCGCTCTCACATATGGGGACATTCTGCAGTCACCACTTGAGAGGAGAGGGTAGTGTTGCGCAAGCCCAGGCTCCACAAAAGGTACAAAGTCCCAGTGATTACTACCATCTTTGGAACTGGCGAAGGCACATTCCATCATGCCTTTTAAAGAACTGGATTTATTAAAGAAAAGACATTTGCAAGGGAAAAGGCAGGGGAGTGGGATTCAGGGAGCTGGTTTACAGTCAGTCTGGCAACAAACTAAAAAACTTGCTGCTGTCCTGTAATTAATCGCTAATTGCAAGATCTGATTAGGCACACAACATGGATTGAAAGGGATTTTTTTTTCCACAAGCTGTAAGGAGTCTTTCAGGGTGTAACCAGCAGGAAACCCAGTACCTCCTCAGACTTCTCCTGTGCACTGCAACCTCCCGTTACCCTCTATCCACAGCCTCCTCTTTACAACCTACACACCATTCTTACCCGTCCATCACATCCAGGTGAAGGTAGTCAGCCCCGCAGTCCATCATCCTCCGACATTCAGCCCCGAGCCGGGACAAGTCGCTGTTTAGAATCGACGGCCCAATCCGGCAGCCAGCCGCCATTGCTGACCTTCTCCCCAGAATGCCCCGCGCCCGGCACCACCGCCTCTTGACTTTCTTCCCAGTCCGCCCCGCGCCCGGTCCCTGCCGCTTCAGACCTTCCTTGCGAGTCAGTACGCGTGCTCAGTGGCTGCCGTATTCAAGTAGCAAGGATCTTAATCTGTACTTTTACTGGCACCCCCCTCCCCATTTCCTCACGGTCGCCCTCATCACCACATTCGTCCTCAACCCCCCTGACCTTCTCACGTATCTCTCACATCACTCCCACTTTCCTCATACCCTGAAGCCACAAGCACTCATCTCATACCTTCAATACCCCCTGCCCTCGTCATCACCGTCATAACTCTTCATCCCTCTCCACGAAAATTAAATAGGTTGGTACTCGACTGACTGGTGTTTAGAAGAAAGAGAGTTGATCTAATTGAAACATATAGGGCCCAGCGAGTCTACTCCACCCCTCTGAAGAACATCCCACCTAGACAAACCCCCTACTCTATCCCTGTAACCCTGCATTTCCCACGGCTAATCCACCTAGACTGCACATCCCTGTACACAATAGGTAATTTAGCATGGCCATTCCGCCTGGACCACACATTTGTGGGAGGGAACCGAGCACCTGGAGGAAACCCAGGCAGACGCAGGGAGAATGCAAACTGTCTCTCCTTATCCTCTTTCCTATGATGATATCTTTACAACAGGTTTATGTGACATAACCGATTCTTCCTCCTAAGATAGTAATATTTATCACCTAAATCACTTTACTAACTACTTTATGTATGTGATGATACTGTCACTTTAAAAAAGTTATTTTGACCTGCATTTTCTTGGAGAGGTTTTAAAGGCAGAGATGCCAAACTGGATACAGGAAACAGCTTAAGTAAACAATTTTAGGAGGCCTTTAGGTTTTTTTTAAAAATTGGAACGATGGCAGCAGCTTGATGCCGAGTGGCCAGTTCTCACAGTCCAGGCTTTCTAGTACTTCTTTAGCATTAGCAGTAAGAATTGTTTGGAGTCACAGCAGATTTGGAAGCTTGACTGAATGATTCTTAGCTGCTACTTTCTCTGAAATCTCTCTTGATATTGTTTCCTCCTGGATTGGAAAACTACATGTAAGAACCCACGTCTGAATTTACCTTTATGCCAAGGAGTGTGTTTATGAGATGTTACTATATTGGAACAGTTAATTAGTAAAGGTACTGTGTCTGTTATTCGGTTAAGTTTTCCAATAGTTGAGTTATTCTAAATTCCTCTTTCTTTTGTTTGCATTTTAAATAAATTGTGTTTTGCTTAATGATGAATAGTTTGGCTAGTCACATCACATCTGGAACATGTTCTTCACATTTACCTTTAAAATACGAAAAAGTTAGGGTCTAGGCTACCTTCTTAAAATATTTTTGGGGGGTTCGGTCTGGTCCACACCAATATGAACCACTGAATTTCACATTCAAAAGTTCCCTTTGTAAAGACAACAGTACTAATACTTCACTCAGAGAAAGTAAGAACTGCAGATGCTGGAGTCAGAGATAACACTGTGTGGAGCTGGAGGAATACAGCAGGCCAGGCAGCATGAGAGGAGCAGGAAAGTTGAGAAAATTCCTGACCCAAAACGTCAACTTTCCTGCTTCTCTGATGCTGCCTGACCTGCTGTGTTCCTCCGGCTCCACACCTGTGTTATTTAGAACCAATACTTCACCTTGTACTTAAAATGATTTGGATGTGAACATAGATATGGTTAGTAAATTTGCAGATGATACAAAAGTTGGAGGTGTAGTGGACAGTGAAGAAGATTACCTCAGAGTACAATAGGATCTTGATCAGATGGGCCAGTAAGCTGAGGAGTGGTAGATGGAGTTTAATTTGGATGAATGTAAGTACTGCATTCTGGAAAGGCAAATCAGGGCAGGACTTATACATTTAATGATAAGGTCCCGGGGAGTGTAGGTTCATAGTTTATTGAAAGTAGAGTCACAGGCAGATAGGATGGTGAAGAAGGCATGGGTATGCTTGCCATTATTGGTCGGTGCATTGAGTATAAGAGTTGGGACAGCTGTACAGGACATTGGTTAGACCACCATTGGAATACTGCGGGCATTTCTGGTCTCCCTGCTATAGGAAGGATGTTGTGAAACTTGAAAGAGTTCAGAAAAGATTTACAAGAACGTTGCCAGGGTTGGAGGGTTTGAGCTATAGGGAGAGGCTGAATAGACTGGGGCTATTTTCCTTGGAGTGTCGGAGGCTGAGGGACGATCTTTCAGCAGATTATAAAATCATGAGGGGCATGAATAGGATAAATAGACAGGCTAGGTGGATTGGCCGTGCTAATAGTGTTCAGGGATGTGTAGATTAGGTGGGTTATAGAGGGATGGGTCGGTGTGGACTTGTTGGGCCGAGGAGCCCGTTTCCACACTGTAGGGATTATATTAAAAAAAAGCTGGTCAGATGTGACCTCCCCCTAACAAAAACTATGCTGACTAATTAATCCCTGCTTCTCCAAACGCAGATTCATTCTGTCCCTTAAAATTCTTTCAAGTGGAGGTTAGAATGACTGGCCTGTAATTTTGTGTTTATCCCTTGCTCCCATCTTGAATGAAGTAAACACATTGGCTGACCTCCTTTGGCACCTCTCCTGTTGCCAGATAAGAATTAAAAATTTTTGCAAGCGCATGTACTACTTCCTCTCTTACTTCCTCTCAACAACCTGGGATAGATTTCATTCGGTCCAAGAGATTTCTATTTTAAGCCTGCCAGAGACTGAGAACCTCCTGTCTGACCATGCTAATTTCTTCAATTGTATCAGAGACCTTCTTGATTTCTGCACCCATATTGTCTCTCTCACTAGCGAACACCAACACAAAGTATTCATTTAGAACCGGACCTACATCCTTTAGCTCCACATGCAAATTACCATTGAGTCCTTAATGGGTCCTTTCCTTCATTATCCTTTTACCCTTAATGTACCTGGAAATAATTTAGGATTTTTCCTCTATTTTCCATGCTAGCATCCTATCGTATCTTCTTTTAGCTCTCTTAATCTCCCTTTTAAGTTCCCTCTTGCACATTGTCCTTTCGGGCTTCTGCTGTTTTGAGCCCTCAGTATCTGTCATAAGCTTCCCCTTTTCTCTTAATCCAATGCTGTATATTCATTGACATTCAAGATTCACAGGATTTGATAGTTCCACCGTTTTTCTTTAGTGGACTATGTTGATCCTGTACACTCCATATTTCCTTCTTGAATGCATCCCACTGTTCTGGGTTTCAAAAGTTGCTTTAATAACATGATGAAGTTTCTCTATCACCTGACATGTATGACATGTTTTACAGTAATGCACCACATCTTTATGAAGACCTGACCCATGTAAAGTTCGGGTTTATTGATGCTAGTGATTGCCGTGTATGCCCTGCTGCAGGAACTTCATCTGCTACTCGCACTATGTCCTTATGATATATGGATAGTGTCACTCTTTGTAGAATTTCCTCATCAGAACTCCATTTTCAATATAATAACACAACGGAACTCCTTCAGCCTCATCCTCAGTAGGAGCTGCCTATGCCAACTGAGTTAACTCTGGATCTGTTTCCTGAGCCTCAGTTAACAAAGACATGCCAAACAATTTTTGAATTAACCTCATTTTTAAATAGAGCTTCAGCCACGCTGAAATCTGCAGTGTCACTATGACCTCTGATAATGGACTTTCACCATTGCTCTGGTTACCACACACAATGGAAAAATACCTGTTCCTGCAACTGTTCAATCTCTTTAGCCACAACTGAACTTTCTGCAATTATAGGTGAAGCTAGAACTTTCACTCTTGTTAAATCATTCCCTCGAATATAAATAAACTCCATTCATAGGTCATTTCTTAACCACCCTAACTACCACAACAACAACAACAAAATCACACTCCAGTTGGGATTTGTTCCGTGGAACTGGTATATACTCTCCAACTATTCCATTTACCAACACTTTGGTTTTCAATTAATTCTTTAGAGGGAAAATGCCCTGCTTTCCCAGCAAGAGAGTTTGAGTAGTCCCTTCGTATAGTTATGGACTTGGCTGTTTCTTTTGAAGAGGAAGGGTTATTTTCCCTTTCATTAAAAACCTTTCATATCTCTCAGCTGCTTGATGTACTTCTTATCCACTCAGAGCAGTGTTTACCTCTGGTCTCTCAGTTGTTGTTAAAGCCATAAACTGATCAGTGGCCTTCTCCTTCTGAGTTTCCTCTTCAGGCTCGTTCTTACAAACTCCAGCAAGTCCAATGGGTTTCCATCTCAACTTCCGGCATTCTGAACGAATGTGCCCCACTTTGTTACAATGGAAACACTTCAGCTTCCAATTTCCATCTCTACCCTCAGTAGTTTCTCTTCTGATCTGAGGAGGAGTCCTCTGGACATTCACAGCTATTCATTCTTTATCTTGGCAATCTGTCTTCCATACAATCTCCCATTTTCTATCCCTTTAGAATTTATGAAAGTGGTAGGAAGAAAAAGCCTTGTTTTATGCATTAGCTCATAATCATCGGCCATACTGCAATCGGTCTAGCAATTACAATCTGTTGGTCCTCAACATTGTTCTTATTACAGAAAGTGGAGAGTTTTTAAATTCCTCAAAAAAAGCCCATCTTAAAGCTTTATATGTGGATTCAGCTTCTAAAGCTTGTATCTTCCTGTCAAAATTATTTTGCTTAACCTTCTTGAATTCATTATGGATTGGATCTGGCTGTTTCCTTAAATTCTGAAACCTTTGCCTCAGGCACTTAACCAATATAGTTTTCTTTATAGAGATAACAAGGTGTAGAGCTGGATGAACACAGCAGGCCAAGCAGCATCAGAGGAGCAGGAAAGCTGACGTTTCGGGCCTAGACCCTTCTTCAGTTTTTTTTATACTGTGATAATCCTGAGAAAAGGCCTCTGACAATGAAGCATAAAATTCCTGTCATTTAATAACAGGTTCAGTAACTCAGTTTGTATTCTACCAGGGCCTTTCAGTTTCTCGCCTCATTACAGCCTTGTTTCAAACATGCACAATTAAGCTGAATTCCATAGTTGAGGTGAGAGTGACTGCCCTTGACATCAAAACTGCATTTGGCTGAATGTGACATCAGGAAGCCCTAGAAAAACTGGAATCAATGTGAAAATAAAACAAAGAACTATAGATGCTAGAAATTTGAAAGAAAACAGAAAGTGCTAGAGAAACTAAGCAGGTTGAACAGCATTCTTGGATAGAAAACAGTTTTAACGTTTTAGGTTCAGTGACCCTTCTTCAGAACGCTTCAGGACTCAATGGGAATCAGGGGAAAATTCTCCTCTGGTTGGAGACAAAGCTGGCAGATAGGGAGATGGTAGTGGATGTTGGAGATCTGCATTCTCAGTTCCAGTACATCTCTGCAGGAATTTGCCAGTGTAGTGTCCTAGGCCCAACCATCTTCAGCTGCTTTATCAATGACCTTCCCTCCATCATAAGGTCATAAGTGGGGATGTTCGCCAATGATTGCACAATGTTCAGCACCATTCACAACTCCTCAGATATTGAAGCAGTCCATGTTCAAATGCAACAAGATCTAGACAATAATCAGTCTAGGACTGAAAAGTAGCAAACAATATTCACATCACACAAATGCCAGGCAATGACAATCTTCACCAAGAGAAAATGTAACCATTGCCCCTTGATGGGTGAATAAAAAGAAAATTAATTTGACTAAGTAATGTCCAGTCCACATTACATTGAATCATAGAATTCCTATCGTGTGGAAGCAGGCCATTCAGTCCCATGAGTCCACACTGACCCTTTAGAGAACATCTGACTCATACCTACCCCCCATACCCTAACCCTGTAACCCTATATTTCCCATGGCTAATCCACTGAGCCTGCATATCCATGGAAGACTATGGGAAATTTTGCATGGCACATCTTTGGACCGTGAGAGGAAATCAGAGCACCCAGAAGAAACTTATGCACTTCTGTGCAATTATTTTGTCCAGACATTTTCTCGAATGACATGAAAAATGCCGCCACATCTATTCCTTAAATGTTAGTAGAACGTGTACAAACTTAAACTTTTCCTTGCCGGACTTCTAATTATGCCTCAGATTTCCCCGAACAGGGCCTGTATCAGTATGTGACATCTGCTGTTTTAATTGCATTGTTTTAAGCCGGTTTTATATTCTCTTGTTTTCTTTCTCTCTTGTACTTGCACTTCTAATTCTAGTTTTCTCATTTCTATTCCGTCTTTTCATTTTCATATTTCTGAAGAAGGGTCCCGACCCGAAACGTCAGCTTTCCTGTTCCTCTGATGCTGCCTGACCTGCTGTGTTCCTCCAGCTCCACATTTTGTTATCTCTGACTCCAGCATCTGCAGTTATTGCTATCTCTTTTCATTTTCATAGCCTTGACCCTTTTCATGTTTTTGCCTGCTCTTTCTTTGTCTTTTTCTGCTCTTCTCTTTTATTTGCCCTCTCTAGTTTCTTTATTTTCTCTTCCTTCTCAAGTCCCAACCCGAAACATCAACTTTCCTGCTCCTCTGATGCTGCCTGGCCTGCTGTGTTCCTCCAGCTCCACACTGTGTTATCTCTGACTCCAGCGTCTCCAGTTCTTACTATCCCTCTACATCCACCCTGTCATGGCCTGGAAGAACAAAGGGATTACCTCTCATTCTTCAAAATGCTAGAGATTGCAGGCCTAGTTTCTTCAGTCTCTCTGACATGAATAGAGGGGCAGAAGGTGGCCATTTGGTCCCTCCAGCATTTCCTGCCATTCAGTGTGATCATGGGCGATCTGTGATCAAATTCCATAGACCCTAGGTTCACCAGACCCGAAACGTTAACTCTGACTTTTTCTTCACTGGTGCTGCCAGACCTGCTGAGCTTTTCCAGCAACTTCTGTTTTTGTCCCTAGACCCATCTTTGCCTCATATCCCATCCACCTTTTATTAATAAAAAACCATCAACCTCAGTTTTAGATGTAACATTTGAGCTGGCAGCAATTGATGCAGGTGGAACTGAGTGTTTCAAATTTCTACGAAACTTTGCCAGGACTTTGGACCATGCCACATACAGTTTGTAAAATATGAGAGTTTGCACAGGTAGATTATCTTAAACACAGCTCCACCTCAGCGTCAGAATAACCCAGTACATGCAACTTGGCTTAATGATGCCTCATTCAACTTCCCTGGGAGAGCATAACTAAATTTAACAACCAGGATGGGACATGGGGGTTATAACAGTGTGGCCTACTGAGTGCCCAGGAGAGAGGTTGAAAACAATGTTAGTCTCTGGCACCCGTACCTTTTTGGGTGGGGAATCATAGTCTCAGAGTAATATAGCATGGAAACAGGCCCTTCGGCTCAAAGTGGTCCATGCCGACCACGGTGCCCACTCAGCTAGTTCCAACTGCCTACATTTGGTCCGTATCCCTCTAAACCCTTCCCATCCATGTACCTATCCAGATGTTTTTTACATGTTGCTATTGTACCTGCCTCAATCACTTTCTCTTGCAGCCCATTACATATACGCACCACCCTCTGCCTGAAGCAGTTGCCTTCAGGTTCTTCTTAAATTTTTCCGCTCTCACCTTAGACCTATGCCCTCTGGTTTTTAATTCCCCATCTGTGGGAAGCTGTATGCATTCATCCTATCTATGCCCTTCATGATTTTATACACCTCAGTAAGGTCACCCCTCATTCTCCTACATTTCAAGGAATAAAATCCTATCTTGGCCAATCTCTCCGTATAACTCAGGCCTATTAGTCCTGACAACATCCTCGTAAATCTTCTTTGCACACTTTCCAGTTTAACTATGTCTTTCTTATAACAGGATGACCAAAACTGTACACAATACTCCAAGTGTGTCCTCACCAATGACTTATACAACTGTAACATAAGGTCCCAATTATTATACTCAATGCCTCGACCGATGAAGGTAAGCATGCTAAATGCCTTCTTCACCACCCTGTCCGTCTATAATGTCGCTTTCAACTAACTATCTACTTGTACTCCTAGGTCCCTCTGTTCTACAAAACTCTTCAGGACCCTAGAAATTTACAGTATAAGTCCTACCTTGGTTTGACTTTCCAAAGTGCAACACCTCAGACTTATCTGCGTTGAATTGCATTTGTCAAACCTCAGCCCACTTCCCCATCTGATCAAGATCCCTCTGTAATTTTTGATAACCTTCCTTGCTATCAACAACACCTCCTAATTTTGTATCATTTGCAAACTTATTAATCATGCCTTGTACATTCACATCTAGATCATTTACGTAAATAACAAATAACAAAGATCCCGGCACCAACCCCTGTGGCACACCATTAGTCACAGGCCTCCAGTCCGAGAAACAACCTTCAACCATAACCCTCTGCTTCCTACCGTGGAGCCAATTTTGAATCCAATTAGCTAGCTCTCCCTGGATCCCATGCAACCTTACCTATGATTAATCTGCTGTGCCGGACCTTGTCAAAGGCCTTATTAAAGTTCACATAGACAACATCCACTGCCTTACCCTCGTCCATTCTCTTTGGTTACCTTTTCAAAATAACTCTTAAAAAGTTGTGAGGTCTCGAGCAATGCTGCATTCTCTCTGGTACCTCAGTATGTTGGAAAACCAGCTCCGTGTGCATGCAGCTGTGGGACAGAGGACTAGCGTCAAGATTCAATTATCCTGGAGCGATTCCCTGTGGCTATTGGTTTGGACAGGCAGTTGCAGTCTGGGAAACATAGCCCAACTTTGACACAGACCCACCCAACCACACAGAGGCACTTACCACTGAAGGATACTGGGTAAGTGGAGCGGATTGTGAATAAGTGTATGTATGAGACAGAGGGAATATGTGTGTGAGAGAGATTGAGTGAGGGTGTGCATGTGTGCGTGTGTGTGTGTGAGAGAGAGAGAGAGAGAGTCAGTGAGAGAGATCGTGTGTGAGTGAGAATGTGTGTGTACGAGAAAGAGACAGTGTGATAGAGTATGTGTGTGAGTGAGAGACTGTGTGTATGACACTGTGTGAAACAGTGTGTGTGTGAGAATGTGAGTGAGAGTGCGTGTGTGAGAGAGAGAGAATGTGTGTATGTGAGATATTGTGTACGTAAAAGACAGAGTGAGTCCGAGAAAGAGTGTGTGTGAGAAAATAATTTCTAAATGATAACCCCTATTTCTAGATTCTCCCACAAGAGGAATGATGCTTTCAATATCCATCTGGTCAAGATCCCTCAGGATCTTATGTGTTTCAATTAAGTCACTTCTGACAAAGAAATAGGATCCAGAATAAATATCTAAATTGAATTGAAGGAGAGACATACACAAGATTTTGGGAAAGGTGAGGAGAGCAGAATTAATTGGGTAGCTCTTTCAAAGAACTCATGGGCTCAATAGACTTGATAACCTTCATTTGTGCTGTAAAACTCTGTAATTCCACCAATGTAAAGGAATAGTACTGAAGGAACAGTACTTTTAGTGCTACATGTTCTGAAAACATCAGGGCAGGAATGAATGAACTAAGGTGCTCTTTGGATGTCTCCCATCTGTCACCACCCCAACCAAACACCCCCACCCACACCCACACCCACACCCACCCCCAAGAATACGTGAGGTAAATACGTCATCAAAGGCTGTTGCTTTTGCAGAGAAAGGCTCATACACGTTATGAGCAATATTAGTCTTTTATTCACCCTGCTGCTAAACATAAGGATTTACACTGGAACCATTCTCCTTTCTCACTCTGGATAAGAGTGTTCTTAGGGACTGCTAGTGGATGGTTCTTAGACATGCTCCTGCGTGCTGTAGCTTATTTCTCACTCCTTCCGTTTGTCCATCAGCTCTAAGACCTGCACTGTGTTTCGTCTAGCCTCCTCCAGGAGGTCAAGAGCCCTTGCTCTGGCCTGTGGGCAAGCAGAGAAAATGTTAGCTGTTAATCTAGATACGGAAATGCTGTTTACACTAACAGCTCTTCAGTATTGATTCCACACAGAGTCTTCTATACTCGGACAGCAAACAGGTGGAAAACAACAAAACCTTGTGTGTACCTTACCTCTGCAAACTAAGGAATCACCTGAAGCCTCCGGGCACCTTATAAAACAATTACATTCAACACCAACTGTGGACTTGCACACAACTGCACTCATGATTGCATATATGTTCTTGCTGTACACAGGAGGTTCTGCTAATTATCCTGATGAATAAAGGAGCCATCACTTCTTGGTGTGCTGTTCCTTTGCTCCCCCACAGTTCTGCAGTAACTTGTCAGCCATTGGGTATGTAATCAAAACCATTTGGGTGGTTAATGAATCTGCTTCCAGCAGTGCTAGGCAGTTCCAGCTCTTGAGTGAGCAGAAGAAATTCTCCTTATCATTGTCATAAATTCATATAGTGCAGAAAAGGCCCTTCAGCCTATCAAGTCTGCACCAACATAACTACCACTAAAAGGGCACTAATCCCAACTTCCTGCACTTGTCCTATATTCTTGAATGTTATGACATTTGAAGTACTCATCCAAATATTTTTAAAGATTGTAAGGCTTCAAGACAATGCATTCCAGATTCCCACCACCTGCTAAGTGAACAAAGATTATTCCCAAATCCCTTCAATCTCATGCCCCTTACCGTAACACAATGCCCTCTCATGATTGACCCCTCGAACAAGGGAACAGCTGTTCTCTATTCACCCTGTCCATTCACCTCATAAGCTCAATCGTGTCTCCCTCCTCAGTCTTCTCTGCTCTACAGAAAGCAATCAAAGCCTATCTAGTCTCTCCTTATAGCTCAATTTCTCCATTCCAGGCAACATCCTGTTGAACATCCTCTGTAGCTCCTCTAATGCTATAACAACCTTCCTGTAGTGAGGTGACCAGAACAGCACGCAGTATTCCAGTTGTAGCCTGACCAATGCTCTGTTAAATCCCAACATTACCTCCTTGCTCTTATACTCTTTGTCACAACTGATGAAAGCAATTATCCCATGTGCCTTCTTAACTATCCTATGCACATGTTCTGCCAACTTAAGAGATCTGTGAATAATTACCCCAAGATCCTTCTGTTCCTGAGTTACCCAGTGTCCTGCCATTCATTAAATACTCCCTTACTTTGTTTCTTCTTCCAACTGCATCACTTTACAGTTATCAGGATTAAATACCATCTGCCACTGGTCTGCCCATCTGACCAACCCATCTATATCTTCCTGTAACCTACAACCATCTTCTTCATTATTAACCACTCTACCAGTCTTGGTGTTGTCTGAAAATTTGCTTAACGTTACCCCAACATTTTCATCTGTATCATTTCCCTCAATTCCATGTCAATTGGCTTCAGTCTGTGCCTTCTGGCCCGACTGCCTTAGAAATTATTTGTCTCTCTAGGACAAAAGCCTTGGTAATTTTCAACACCTGTGTTGAGTTTCCCTTAACATAGAACACAGAACAGTAGAGCACAGTACAGGCCCTTCGGCCCACGATGTTGTGCCGACCTTTTACCCTAATCCGAAGGCCTACCTAACCTCCACCCTTACCTTATACTATCATCCATATGCCTATCTAATAGCCGCTTAAGTGCCCCTAATGAGGCCGACTCCACTACCCTCTCTGGCAATGCATTCCACGCCCCTACCACTCTCTGAGTAAAGAACCTACCTCTGACGTCTCCCGTGTCTACGTCCGCTCACTTTAAAACTATGCCCCCTCGTAATAGCTACCTCCACCCTAGGAAAAAGTCTCTGGCTGTCTACTCTATCTATACCTCTGATCAATTTGTACACTTCTATCAAGTCACCTCTCATCCTTCGTCGTTCTGATGAGAAAATCCCTAACTGTCTCAACCTTTCCTCGTAAGATCTTCCCTCCATTCCAAGCAACATCCTGGTAAATCTCCTCTGCACCTTTTCCAACGCTTCCACATCTTTCCTGTAATGAGGCAACCAGAACTGGACACAATACTCCAGATATGGCCGAACCAGGCTTTTGTATAGCTGGAGCATAACTTCACGGCTCTTGAACTCAATCCCTCTATTAATGAAAGCTAACACACCACACGCCTTCTTAACAACTCTATCCACCTGGGTGGCAGCTTTCAGGGAACTGTGAAAATGAACCCCAAGATCCCTCTGCTCCTCCACACTGCCAAGAATCTTTCCATTAACCTTGTATTCTGCTTTCAAGTTTGTCCTTCCAAAATGAATCACCTCACACTTTTCAGGGTTAAACTCCATCTGCCACTTCTCAGCCCAGCTCTGCATCCTATCAATGTCCCTTTGTAACCTAGAACAGCCCTCTGCACTGTCCACAACGCGACCTACCTTCGTATCATCCGCGAACTTGCTAATCCACCCTTCCACTCCTTCATCCAAATCATTTACAAAAATCACAAATAGAAGAGGACCCAGAACAGATCCTTGTGGTACACCACTCGTAACTGAGCACCATGTTGAATATTTTCTATCCACTACCACCCTTTGTCTTCTAAGGGTCAGCCAATTGTGAATCCAATCTGCCACATTTCCCCCTATCCCATGCCTCCTTACCTTCTGCATGAGCCTACCATGGGGAACCTTATCAAACGCCTTACTTAAATCCATGTATACCACATCCACTGCTCTACCTTCATCCACGTGTTTGGTCACCTCTTCAAAGAATTCAATAAGGTTTGTGAGGCATGATTTACCCCTCACAAATCCATGCTGACTATCACGAATCAAACTGTGCCTTTCCAAGTGATCATAAATCCTATCTCTCAGAGCCCTTTCCAATAATTTTCCCACCATTGATGTAAGACTAACTGGCATGTAATTCCCAGGGTTATCCCTATTCCCTTTTTTGAACAAGGGAATGAAGTTTGCCTCTTTCCAATCTTCCTGCACTATACCCGTGGACAGCGAGGACGAAAAGATCGTCACCAGAGGCCCTGCGATCTCTTCCCTCACTTCCCATAGAATCCTTGGATAAATCCCATCAGGCCCGGGGGACTTATCTATCTTCAACTTCCTCAAAATTCCCAGCACATCTTCCTTACTAACCTCGACCTCCTTTAGCCTACCAGCCTGTTTCACACTGTCCTCTTCTACAACTAGGTCCCTCTCAGTTGTGAATACCGAAGAAAAGTATTCATTAAGGACCCCTCCTATCTCTTTAGGCTCTAAGTACAAATTCCCTTTACAATCCTTGATCGGCCCTACCCTCTCTCTGGTCATTCTCTTATTCCTCACGTAAGTGTAAAAAGCCTAGGAGTTTTCCTTGATCCTGTCTGCCAAGGTTTTCTCATGCCCCCTTATAGATCTCCTAAGCTCTTTCTTCAGCTCCTTCCTGGATAACTTGTATCCCTCTAGAGCCTTTTCCGTTCCTTGTAACAATCTCTTCTGCAGCCTTTCCACAAGATAAAATATTCTCATCCTTAGAACCATTCATGGAAATGTTTTCTCTAAGGCTTTGCCATCCTCCCTAAAGAGTAGTGCCCAGATTTGAACATTATATCCCAGCTTGTGTTAAGTAGAGATTCATAAAAGTTTAGAATAATTTATTTTGCTTTTATGTTCAAAAGGCCAGATTTTTGCAGAGTTGGGATCTTTAAAAACGGTAGGTGTTGAGCTGGATGTGGAAGTCCTGCATCTATTTCCCACAGATACCATTTTTGCCCATGGTGGGAGATAGAGTGGAGAGAGAGAGAGAGAGAGTGTAAGAGAGAGAGAGAGAGTGTGAGAGAGAGGGTGTGTGTGAGAGAGAGAAAGTGTGAGAGAGTGTGAGAGAGAGAGAGAGTGAGAGAGAATGAGAGAGAATGAGAGAGAGAGGCCTAATTCTCATATTAGGAAAATCTGAACTCAGCAGGGCTATTTCAATTCAGTGCTGAATTCAAACAGACCCCACTTTGGCTGTAATCTAAGGTGTGGGAGTCACGCATTGATGGAATACATATACAAAATCATGATCTGAAGTGTCTTAAACCTCTTGCTCTTTTTTTTATATATCTAGTAGTACTCTTACACACAACTGAATGCTTTCTCCCCATCACCAAATCAGCGTGACTTTTTTTTGCTTTTAACTATTAATCACCACTAGTATATGACTCATGCAGCCAATTAGATATTGATAAGCAAATCCCATTATGGGCAATGCAAACCATCAAAAGTGAAGGAGAGGTAGGGAGAGTGGGAAAGGGCTAAATCTAACTGAAGTTGGAGGGAGAAATAAAATTCTGTCTCTCTGTGGTGCCACCTGTCTCTAAAGGCATTGAGAGCATTCATGAACACCATACAATCCCTTTCCAAGGGCTCCCAGGCACAAATGTAACCTCCCACTCTTTTTCCTTCGGTCTATCCAGAAGTGCTATCGCATACAACTGAGTGCCTTCCCACCATCAAAATCACCATGACTTATTTTAACTAGTAACCATGACCAGTAAAAACACCTAACTGAGTATCTCAAAGCAATGAAAACCATCAAAGGTGAGGGGGTTGGGGTATGGAGAGCAGAAAGGGAATCAAAAGCAGGAATCAAAATTGAATTGGAGGGGGAACCTCCCACTGTTTAAACAGAAAAACAAACTGTATTCAGATGTCAGTGATTTTTAAAACCAAATCTCTGCTGGATTCCTTTAATTGAAATGCCAGCTGGGAAATTGCTTTGGCAGTATTTATTGACATTTCCCTTAGGGCTATTATTATTTTGTTTCTTTTCATCTTTCATGGGATGTGGGCATTGCTGGCTAAGCTAGCATTTATTGTCTCTCCTTAATGGCCTAGAGATCACTTAAGAGTCAACTACGTTGCTGTTTGGGGGTCACAAGGCACGGGTAAGGACACCAGATGGGCATTTTATGACATGGCTGCCATTAGATTATCCTTTTTTCTTTAAATTTCAGATGTTTGTTCAAATTCTCCAAGCTGCTGTGGTGGAATTCAAACTCATGTCCCCAGAACACCGGCCTGGTGTTCTGGATTATTAGTCTGATGACATGGCCACTACACCATCACCTCCCCTGCCATTATGCCATTGGCTGAGATTGGCTGAGTTTCAAAAGAAAATTTTATCCCAGCGGGAAGTTCCATGTTCATTGTGTGATTGATAGCTTAAGAACCTTATGTAGAAATGTTTAGCTCTCTCTGTGTGGATTATGAATAGATGGTTTTAATAAGAGATTGACCACTTGAGGTTTAGAAGCTTGCAATGGCCTCCTGAATGGGAAATGTTTTACCATCCAGTGTGTTGAGAGAGGGTTCTCTAAGTCTCTCTCAAAATTTATTTTGTGCGATCTCCTGATGGCTCCTGAGGTCTCTCCATATTGGAGACTGAGTGAGTTGACTTAGAGTTATCTTGGAGGCTATAAGGTGGGTGGGGGAACATGAGTTTGCACTATATTGATGGGGAAGCCAAGGAGAGGTCATGGGGAGTGAGTGGGGAAGTTGAGAGGGCATGTGAAGGATGAGGGATACTGGGTCTAACAGCTTTTATTACAACTGTGATGAAGTGCCAGAGATTCAGGGTTGACTTTCTACCCAGGTCACCTTGGCACTGACCCACGTCCTTGGTCATCTAGAACCTGTTTCTGGGGTTCCCTGAAATATCCCTATGCCCCAGAGGGGGAAATTTCCAACTCAAGCTACACATCATGGTAAGTCAGCCTATGCCCATTTCATCAGTCTGTCTGTATCCAGACTGTATAATGAAGACTTATTTTCTATTTCGATTTGGACTGTGGAAGCTAGCATCCTGTGGAGATGGTAACATTAATGCACAGCATGCTTCATTGCTGGTTACATTCGATTCTGCATAGCATAAAGGTGAGACCTCTGGGAATGTTTTAATAAGTTAAAGGTCTGTGAACAGTAGTTCAAGTACTAGTTTTCAGTCAGGCTTTTTTTTTAAAGCCAACCAGAGAAGGTGGCTATAAACAGCTGTATTTCAGTGGAGGTGGGCGACTGGTGTTCAGAGAGACCGAGGGCAGTGCAGATCTACCTAAGCTGAATGGTTTGTTTGCCCTGTGAAGTGGGATTGTTGTCTTATGAATCCACTGGGACAATTGTGGAATAAGAGATTGAGCCGCTGGGTGATGAGCAGTCACACGGGCATCCTAAGGTTGGATCTTGTCACCTGACATTTACAAAGGCCTGGTGTTCTGGATTAGTCCAATGACATTACCATTACATCACCACTGACAACTACATGCAGCCAAAGTAGAAGCAGGAAGCCCTCCAGACTGAATGATAGTTATTGTTATAAGTGGGAATTCTAAGACCAGATCTTCACCAGTGAAGAATTGGAAGCTTTTGTGAAAGAGGTCAAGTTTTAATGAGGTTTGGTATCCTACTGTGTCACTAATGTCTGGGCATGCTATTGTTGAGGAATCCATGGAATCTATCTTGACCACATATTCCATCTAGTGTACTCTGTATATTAACCAATATTTACATCATGTTAATTCTGAACACTAGAGTATGAGTTTTAAATACCAGCTTGTTTTGCTTTTCTAACCTTGTACATTAAAGTTTATTTTGATTGTTTAAAACTGGAACATTGTAGATTTATTTTCTTAGCATCTGGGTTCTCAAATTTATTTACTTTAAACAAAACACAAAGAATGCTGGAGAAACTCAACGGGTTTGGAATTATCTATTGAGAGAGAAAAACAGTTAACTTTTCAAAGTCAATATATTTCATCTTCAGAACTGAAAAATGTTGGATTTCTTTTATACTTTGACAGAAATGGAGGAGGAGCAAGTGGCAGGTGATAGAGAGGCCAAGTGCAAAGACATGGGGATTATTGATGGTGGTGAAAGAGAAAAAAAAAGCATTGCTTATCCCTAACAAGATTGCAACCAAATTTCAGGGATGGGATCTGGTCCAGGATTGTAAAAGCATTAATGTCCTCTGGGATTGCAATAGCTGTTTCTAGCCTTCCCACAATTTATTTCCCCATCCTTTAGAAACATTGTGCCCTCCATTTTATCCATACCTTGGTGCTGAAATCCTGCTCTTTCATATCCTTGAGGTTAATGATGATATTGTAATGGGCTCCAAATACTCCCAGTTCCAAGGCTTTAGCAGCAACCTAGACAGAGACAGACAGTTTAGAGCAACATGGGAGAGGGTGTTGGTACATCTCACTTACCCCCACAGGTAGTCTCCTGTTCTCTGGTTGGGTCAAGTTCAAACATCAGAGGGATTTCTTGGGGAACACATACTACAGAGAGCATGTCCAAAATATTCTTTCCATCTCAATCAGATACCAAGCTTAGGTAAGTTCACAGGGATTGACAGCCCAAAACCAACGCACTTCCTGACTCTGTAAACATTTTAATCCGTTCAGGCATGCTAGATCATACATCTGGGGCAAGTGGGACTTGAACCCATATTCTTTGGCCCAGAGGTAAGAACACTACCATTATGTCTCACTTGACTTTATATCCTTTAAACCAGGCAACTCTCAAAACTAGAAGCTTCCATTCAGACACTATGAGTGATCTTTAAGATCCTGAAGGGACTTGACGGGAGATGTGGAGAGGATATTTCCTCTTGTGAGGGAATCTGGAATGAAGGGCCAATGTTTAAAAATCAGGTGGATTTTTTTTTCTCTTAGAAAGTTGAGAGTCAATGGAACTCTGTTCCTCTGAAGCTGGGGGAGACAGAGTCTTTTAATTTTTTTTAAGGGAGAAATAGATAGATTCTTGACAAGTGAGGGGGTTAAAGGTTTTCAGGATAGTTGGGAATGTGGAGTAATCAGATCAGCCACAATCCTATTGAATGAAGGAACAAGCTCAAGGGGCTGGGTGGCTTACTCCTGTTTGTATGCTCGCGTGTAACATCATTTTTTAACTAATCAAACCACCACACGAACTAACTGGAACTTGTTGCAGCTGAGTCTCTCAGTCCATCTTGGAGTTGAATCAACAGGCTGCAGAAGGAACTAACTGCTTCTGGCAATCACAGCACCACATCCCAGCTGATTTTAAAGCCCTCTAGTCCACCCATAGCCAACTATACCTGCAAGTCTGATTTGCAGGCCAGGTTTCCATATGTTGCCATCTCCTTTAGGACAGGCCAGAGGCTGTTCACCTTCTCTGCTAAGGTCAGGGGGACATTGATTGCTTTCTTCAAGCCATCCTGCATTGCAGCTTCTCGCCTGAGAAAGGAATTGAGAAGACAACACAACAGTTTATGACATGAGACATTTGAGCTGAAATCCACCTTCATATAATATTTAGAAATTTCTCCATAGGATGTGGGCATCATAATATTTATTGTCCACCTCCAACTGCCCTTGAACTGAGTGGCCACTGAATCAGATCAGCCACGATCCTACTGAATGACAGAGCAGGCTCAAGCGGCTGAGTGGCCTACTCTTTTTTGTATGCCGGTGTCTCTTCATTTATCCAGTCCAACTCCCTCAATGTAAACTGAATTTTAAAGCACCAGGAATATCTTCAAACAGCACAGGTTTTAGAGGGAGATGAGGTGCAGTGGCATCATCACAGTTTGTCAAGTGCTAGCAGAGAGTGATAGCAGTTAACTTTGCCACTCAGCAGTCATACACCAAGGCAATTCACTTTCTCTCCCAAAATGGAGCAAGGCCATTTCAGAAGTTAATTCAAATTCAACCATATTGCTGTGGATCTGGAATCACGGGTAGAACAGACCAGCTAAGGACATCAAAAATTTCCTTCCCTAAAAGGCTTGATGGATTATTACAACAATCAATGAAGTGGTTTCCTCCCATAATCCAAGATATGTAGGCTAGGTGGATTGGCCATGCTAAATTGCCCGTAGTGTTCAGGGAAGTGAAGATAAGGGGGATGGGTTTGGGTGGCATGCTCTGAGTGTCGGTGTGGACTTGTTGGACTGAAGGGCCTGTTTCCACACTGTAGGAATTCTAATTCTAATAATTGCCATGGTCACCATTATAGAGACAAGCTTGTTCAATCCTACTCATCTGGCCTTTCCCCATGTCCCTACAACTTTTGTTCAATCGGGTATTGCACTCTAGATCCTAACCCCAGGGGTTGCCAAACTGTGGGTCATGCCCCCAGTGGGGTAGTGGGTTGACCATATAGGGCTGAGAGCTCTGAGTTAGCAATGGCAACTGCCCAAGAAGAGAGTTCTGGGTTTAGAGCTGAGGAGCCACTGCACGTGACTGTATGACTCTTGGGTTCAAGACTATATCAGGAATCCTTAAGACAATTGTGGGCACAAGAACTGTCTCCCCCACAACATTTTAATAATCCTGCCCTTCCCTGTCACATCTCAACAACTCCATTGATCCCCTCATCCCACTCTCTCTATGGGCTCACACCAATTTCACACATTAAATATTGAGCACAATGGGAACATTTGGGAATAATTTAGAAAGAACCTCTTGCTGGGGCAAGGTTTTTCCCCATGTTCCTGTTGGTTCATTCCTACTTGCCTTAAGGAGGTTAGGGTTAGGTGTCCTCTGCTTCCAGGCCTTTCTGCCAATGAGAAGTCTAGAATGATCTAGAATGTTTAAAAATCTGGTGAAATTTCTCTTCCCTCAGAAGGTTGTGAGTCGTTGGGACTCTTGTTCCTGAAAAGCTTGTGGAGGCAGTCCTTTAATACTTATGAAGGGACAGATTCTTGATAAACAAGGGGCTGAAAGGTTATAACGATAAGTGGGAATGTGGGGTTATTCAGAATCAGCCATGAACATATTTAATGACAGAGCAGGCTCAAGGGACTGGGTGGCCTACACTTGTTTGCATACTGGTGTCTCTTTATTTACCCTGTCCAGCTTCCTCAAAGCAAACTGAAGCCCCAACAAGATCTTCAAATACAGAGGGAGGTGAAATGCAGTGGCATTCACGTGGTTTGCTAAGTGCTGGCAAAGGGGTGGTAGAAGTTGGCATTGCCGCTCAACAGCCATGCAGTGAGGCAATTCACTTTCTCTCCAAAAACGAATCAAAGCAGCCATTGATCTGGATTGAGCACTCCTTTAAGGAGTTATTTCCTCTTGGAAGGGGACTAGCTAATAAGAGACTGGGATTTGGGGGTAGGGGAGTGGTGCGGTCGTGGGAATGGTCTGAATCGGGTTCTGTTCCTTCAGGAAAGATTTGCCCTGGGCTGGCAGTGCCCAGCACTGTCTCTGAAGAGGTGCTCTCCAGTGAAGGAGGAAGCTGAAGAGGGAGGGAAAGAGGGAGGGGAAGAGGGAGGGAGGAGCAGGCACATGGATTCTGATTGCAGCCTTGCCACTTCCATTAACAGCCCCGTGTTGTGGGAGTAGTGGATGGTTGCAGTGGGGGTCATGAGCAGAGACCATTCGGGAGACTGAGGCTACTCAGGGGCCAGAGTTTGCAGACACTGATGTGTGGGGATGGTAAAGTCACTGTAAACTGATCCTGCACTGAGTGACCATGCCCAAACTGTGAGACGCATGATGATGGTGATGCAGTAGCTCCGATTTTCTGCATCTCAGGTTCATTCCTGGAGGCTCTTGGAGACATGCATGGCCTCTCTCAATGAGTCACACATCATTGCATTGAGATAGTGAACAAGAAGCTCAGGAACATCATCCACGTTAGAGAAGGAATGAGATAGCATTGGAGAGGGTGCAGAGTGGAATTACCCAGACGTTGCCTGGGATGTAGAGTTTCAGTTATGAAGAGAGATTGGACAGACTGGGATTGTTTTTCTTAAAGCAGAGGAAACCGAAAGGGGATATAATTGAAATGTATAAAATTATGAGGGGCATAGATAGGGTAGACAGAAAGAAACTTTTTCCTTTGAATTAAGGGTCAGTGACCACGGGTATAAATTTAAAGTAAGGGGCAAAGGTTTACATGTGCACTTGCCATACCAAGGTAGACAAGGCTATGGACCAAGTGTTAAAAAAAACATTAGAATAGTTAGGTGGTTGCTTTGGTGTGAGGCAGATGATGATGAGTCAAAGGACCTTTTTCTATGCTGTAGATTTTTTTGACTGTTTGACTCTAACCTATAAGGAGGATTTTGAACTTATGGGAGTCATCATGCCGAGAGAGCAAGATGCTTTAGCAAAATTACTTGAGCTTTGTCAAATTCCAATCACTGCACCTGTGTGGCTATCATGGCAGTACTGACCAACCAGCAGACTGCATTGACTGAAAAGGATTTCCATCCTCTCACAGTCCACCTTGTCAGTGGATGTGCTTGTCAGGGATGTGGATGTCAGGGTGTGCTTGGTACCATGGAAGTGGTCAAAATGAGAATGGTTACCTTGGGAGTGGTCTTCATGGAATGATCACCATGGGAGCAGTCACCACACGATTGGTTACTTTGGGGACAGTCACCATGGAGCAGGCTCCATGAGAATATGGTCAAGAACTCTCAGGTGTCATAGCCTTTCTGAGGAACCCAAGGAATGAGGCTAAGCAGCATCTTCACATGAACGTCTCTGCAGCAGCAGTGATTCCTCAGCAGACGTGGGAGGAGTGGATGAATGGGAATCTCGCTGCACTAGTAATCCTGAGGCCTAGACTAATACTCTTCGGACATGGGTTCAAATTCTATCATAGCAGCTAGTGGAATCTACACAGTATTAATAAAAGAATCTTGATTTGAAAGCTAGTCTAAGTGATGGTGAACATGACAGCTATCATCAATTGTTGTAAAAATCCAACTTTTACCAATGCCCTTCTTTTCATTCATTCATGGGATGAGGATGTCACTGGCTTGGCCAGCATTTATTGCCTATCCCTAAGTATCCAGAGGGCAGTTAAGAGTCAACCACATTGCTATGGGTCTGGAGCCACAAAAGGCCAGAGCAGCTAGGGATGGCAGTTTCCCTCCCTAAAGGACATTAGTTAACTAGATGGGTTTTCCCCAATAATTGGTAATGAATTCATGGTCATCGTTAGACTCTTAATTCCAGACTTTTACCAAGTTCAAATTCTACCATCTGTCATGGACGGGATTTGAACCTAGGTAACCAAAACATTAGCTGGGTCTCTGAATTAACAGTCCAGCAATAATACTATCAGGCTGTCGCCTCCCCATAATCATTTCCTTCCTATCAGGAAGGAAATCTGCCATCTTTACCCAGGTCAGGCCTACATGTAACTCCAGAGCCACTGCAATGTGGTTGTCTCTTAACTGCCCTTTGAAATGGCAGTTGTATCTAGAGGCATCTAGGGATGGGAAACAAATACTTGCCAGCTGACAACACTTACGAAACGATAGAGTTCATGACTTTCTGTAACCCTACTAGAAAATGAATATCTCAACTAAGGAAATATCCAAAGTGTCAGAAACTCAGCCAACTATTAGAGTATCAGTTTGCTCATGAGGATGAAGGACAGACAGTTAGAGACAAAATGAAAATTAATAATGCAGGAGAAACATGAGCACAGTGTAGGGAGGCAGATTACAACAGTACTCAATGGTGAAACAAGGGAAAGGAATAGTTTTTAAGAGAGTCTGGCCTAGCTGTTCCCAATATGGGCATGATAGAACTACATGAAAGTGTTCTTAGCCAGAAACTAAAACTCAAAAATCATGAAGTAATCACTCTAGCTGAGAAGAATTAAGCAAAGTTGTCAGGCTGCATGAGGATGAAAGGCAAAAATATTGTTTAAAACAGTTGTGAAATGAATAAAAAGGAGCATTGAGCTTTATTGGCTGCGTATCGCGATAGCCTAAACAAAGTTCTCATAGCAGCTAAAGAGGAATTTACTTAAAAAGAAAATGAACCAGTTATACAAAAAGAGGCTATGTTAAACCTGTGTCTTCTGAGAAATCCAAATTGCAAAGGAAAAGTCATGGAAGAGAACTGAAGGATAGATATGATCCTGAATTTAAACAAGGTGAGGTGAATTCAATTATACTTCAAGTCAATTTTGATATTTGGCTGGTTGAAACTTTCTTTGTAGACTTGGAAATTAAGAAAAATGCAAATTGGCAAGAACATGGAGGTTGACTGAATCCGAAATAAACGCAGAAGCTGCTAAAAACGTTCAGCAGGTCTGGCAGCATCTGTGGAGGGAGAAACAGAGTTGATGCTTTGAGTCCAGTGGCCCTTCCTGTTCAGGACCTATTTTAAAAGGTGAGAAGACTGATGATGATTCAGTAAAAACCGAAAGAACTGTGGATGCTGTAAATCAGGAACAAAAACAAAGTTGCTGGAAAAGCTCAGCAGGTATTGCAGCATTTGTGAAGGAAAAAACAGAGTTAATGTTTCAGGTCCAGTGACCCTTCCTCAGAACTGATGGTGATTCAGTGTCTGGCTTTTAAGAAGAACCAAGCAATTACTGAATGTAGAGGGTAATAGGTGATATGACAGGGAATTTCTCCTTGAATTCCAATCCACAGCCACCAATATCCAGGAACCAAATAGAATGCCAGAAGGAAGCAATGCTGTTTTTGGTAAAATTAAAATTAACCAGTGAAATAATGCCACAGAGGCTGGTATCCCATCACCAAGTCACCCTTTATTTATACATGCATTGTACTTGACACTGGTCCAGCTTTCTCAGAGCCAGTTCTCAGAATGAACAGAACCTCTTGACACTCCTGTTTATATCTGTCAGCTAGGACTCTCTGAATGGACCAGGTTAACAGCCCCAATCAGGGAACTCCTGTGAGGTCCACTTGGCTGACTTCGTTACAGTCACTTACAACCAGATCAGATCTTTGGCCCCACCACAGACAATTCCACTGTGTAAAAACCAATATCGATTTTAAAAAAACAATATGAAGAGTACCCAACTTAATTTTTAACCAGGGACATGATAATGCTGTAAAGATTATTCAAAATATAAAAGAGACCTTTACTGTGATTGAAAGTGAATCAACCAGAAATAAAGTAATCTCTCATTTGCAAATGAGTTGAAATACTAAGAACCTACACAAACTAGATCTTAATTGTCATTTTAGTGAGTTATAATGGCACCAAATACAAGATATATTGAACTGGTTTGCATCAGAATGTCTGAAACTTGCCTTTCCCTTTCTGCTGAAGATGATTTGGGCATCTTGAGGGCAGCCTGAAGAAAACATTGAACAAACAAACTCAGTATGTCATTGCAGCACCGGTGTTTCAATCGACGTACACACATTGAGGTGAAAAGGATAACATGGACCTGGTGCAATGTGAAACCAAACCTTCAGTGTGTTGGTTTTAGAGTAAAGGGTAAACAGACTTTAAGGAGAGCTATTGAGCATGTGTGGAAATGATGGCAGATTGTATGGGACTGGAGCCTGCTGTTTGTTAGGCTGCAGTGATATCTCCTCTCTAACCATGTCTTGTAAATAGTTTAATAACGCCTGTGAATAATTGCTCACACTTACAAGAGTGTAGACATCATGGGCTGAATCTTATGTTGTTTTGGTAAAGTTTGAGCTGTTTCAGAGGGATTTCCACTGTATTTTACCAAACCCACTGCATTAACTACTTGTCCCACCCCCACGTGTGTCATGTTTTTAACTAGCAGCTTCTCCGTCGGATGATGGTATTTATGTATCACCAACAAAATGCTGATGATCAGGTAAAATTGTCTTCTGCAGGATATTTCAATATTGGAATGTGCTTCCTGCCTCCTTGTGCCAGATGAACACAGTGCTGCCATTAATAAAATTACCACAGCTACCCACACCCCAACCAACTATTGATTTCAGTAACCATTTTCCTGCTGATTGTGGGATTTGCTTGCCCTGAGGATGTGCTAGAAATTTTGAAAAAACATGAGGATAGATAAGTCCATTGGGCCAGACAAGATATACCCAAGGTTTGTACAGGAAGTGAGGGAAGAGATTGCTGCACCTTTGGCGATGATCTTTGCGTCCTCACTGCCTACTGGAGTAGTACCAGATGATTGGAGGGTGGCAAATGTTATTCCTTTGTTCAAGAAACTGTAGTCCCACTTTCCCTCCCAACAGAGGTCAGCAGAGAGACTTCATTGAGGAGCATTCTGGGAGAAGTCGGCTCAATCACCATGACTGAACTGAGGATTGAGGAAGAACCCCCTCACAGTGATGAGCAGGAGGAAGAGCATCCAATAGAGGATGACAGAGAGACTTCACTGTTTCAGGCGTTTCTGCTGAAGGTAAATGGAGGTTTGTTCAGTTATTGGACCCTCCCAGTGTGTCAAATTTATGTGCATATTAGTATTGTAGGTGTAAGAGAGGTCTTTGGTTTTGTGGATAGTCAAATTCCAACATTTTGTGTGTTTACTTGATATGCAACAGTCCAGAACAAAACTATTTTTGTGTCAATGTATATATACAAAGGCTTTTATGAATAAGGTATATTGTTGAAAAAAGAAAAGGAGCATTCTGGGAGAAGTCAGCTTAGTCACCACGACTTAACAGCGGATCAAGGAAGAACCCAGTGTCAAGGAATAGTAATCTCCAACATTACATTACTGTACTGTTTTGATCCTTCCCTCCTCCACTAAACAAAAGGAGGAGGAGAGAGAGATTAAGAGGCTGTTAGAAAGTTTGTTGTAGCCTGGAAGGTACTTGGTCTATTTGTAAAGATTGCATTGTAATTGAAGTAACCAGTTAAATGGAAATTACCAACAAAATAGTTTGAGAGGGGCTGCTGAGTGGTGGAAGAGCTGCTAATTGATATAAGTGCAGGCTTAGGTGAATACTGGGCTTCAGTGAGTAAGGCAAGCAACGTAAAGTCAAGGTAAGATTCTTTTATCCTTCTTAATATAAAGGGGCAGAGATGACAGTTTCGGAAATGGTGTGCTCCTTCTGTCAGATGTGGGAGATCAGGGGGCAGACTGGTGTCCTTGATGACTATGTCTACAGGAAGTGTGACCGGCTGCAGCTCCTCACAGACTGCATCGTTCGGTTGGAGTGGCAGTTGGACATGCTGGGGAGCATACAAGGGGCAGAGAGTGTAATAGACACTAGTTACAGGGAGGTGGTCACACCACAGGTTCAGTCAGGTAGATGGGTGACCGCCAGGAGAGGCAGGCAGGTAGTGCAGGAGTCTCCTGAGACTAAACCCCTCTCTAACACTGTTTTGGATATTGCTGGGGTGATAACCTCTCAGTAGAGTGTAACAGCAGCAGAAGGGCCTGTGGCACCACATCTGGCTCTGCTGTAGAGTGGGGTCAGGAAAGATCCAAGCAAACGATAGTGGTAGGAGCGTCACTAGTTAGGAGAATAGACATGCTTTACTGTGGCTGCATTCGAGACTCTAGGATGGTGTGTTGCCTCCCTGCTGCCAGGGTCAACAATATCTGAGTGGTTGCATGAAATTCTTAAGGGAGAGGGTGAGCAGCCAGAGGTCATTGTGCACATTGGTACCAATGACATAGATAGAAAGAGGGATGAAGTCCTGCGGACTGAGTACAGGGAGTTAGGAAAGAGGCTGAAAAGCAGGACCTCGAGGGTAGTAATTTCTGGGTTACAACCAGTACCATGTGCTAGTGAGGCAAGAAAAACAAAGATAGAAGAGATGAATGTGTGGCTAAGGAGCTGGTGCTAGGGATAGGGTTTCAGGTTATTGCATCATTGGGACCTCTTCTGGGGCAGGGGCGACCTGTACAAGAGGGACAGGTTGGACCTAAACTGGAGGGGAACGAATATCCTCGCAGGGAGGTTCGCTAGTGCTACTCGGGAGGGTTTAAACGAGGTGAGAGGGGACTAGGAACCAGAGCAGCAAGTCAGCAAGTGGAGTGATTGAGGGGAAGGTAGATGTTAAGATCAGTAAATCAGAAAGAAACAACAGGTAGGAACGGGTAAATGAACACCATGGTACTAATGGACTGAAGTGTGTTTATTTCAACGCAAGAAGTATTGTAGGTAAGGCAGATGAGCTTAGAACCTGGATCAGTACATGGGATTATAATGTTGTGGCCATTACAGAGACTTGGTTGAGAGGGGGGCAGGACTGGCTGCTCAATGTTCCAGGGTTTCATCGTTTTAGACAAGATAGAGAGGAAGGTAAAAGAGGTGGAAGAGGTGCATTACTAATTAGGGAGAATATTACATCTGCACTCAGTGAGGACATGCTGGAGGGCTCATCCACTGAGGTAATAGCGTAGAACTCAAAAATAAGATAAGTGCATTCACTCTGATTGGATAAACCATAGGCCCCCCAACAGCCACCAAGACATTGATGAACAAATATGTCGGCAGATTATGGAAAATGCAATAACAACAGGGTTGCCACCTTTCTGAAGAAGGGTCCAGGCCCAAAATGTCAGCTTTGCTGCCCCTCTGATGCTGCTTGGCCTGCTATGTTCATCCAGCTCTACACCTTGTTATCTCAGGGTTGTCATAGTGGGTGGCTTTACCTTCCCCAATATTGACTGGGACTCCCTGACAGCAAGAGGTTTAGATGGGGTGGAATTTGTTAAGTGTGTCCAAGAGGGTTTCTTGAAACATTATGTGGATAGTCCAACTAGAGGAGGGCATTCTGGACCCTTTATTGGCAAAGGATACAGTGGGATATAGATCAGTTGCAGACATGGTCAGAGAAATGGCAGGTGGAGTTTAATCCAGGTAAGCGTAAGGTGCTGCACTCTGGGAGATCAAATGTTAACAAAACATATACAGTTAATGGCAGAACCCTGAACAGCATTGATGTATAGAGGAATCTTGGGGTTCAAGTCCATTGCTCCCTAAAATGGCCATGCAAGCAGATATGGTGGTGAAGAAAGCGGATGGCATGCTTGCCTTAATTGGTCAGGGAATTGAATACAAGAGTCAGGATGTCATGTAGCAGCTTTATAAGACTTAGGTTTGACCTTACAGAGTACTGTGTTCAATTCTGGTCACCACATTACAAAAAGGATGTGGACGCTTTGGAGAGGGTGCAGAAGAGGTTTACCGGGCTGCTGCCTGGATTAGAGGGTATGAGCTATAGAGAGAGGATCGAAAAACGTACCTTGTTTTCTCTGGAGTGGCAGAGGCTGATGGGAGACTTGATAGAAGTCTTTAAAATTATGAGATGCATAGATAAGGTTGACGGTCAGGATCTTATCCCCAGAGTTGAAATGTCTAATACTAGCGGGCATGCATTTAAGGTTGGGGGGGGTGGGGGGGGGGGGGGGGGGGGGGGGGGGGCAAAGGGGACGGGGGGGGGAAATTTTTTTTTTTTTTTTTACACAGACAGGGGTAAGAGTCTGGAACATGTTGCCAGGGGTTGTGGTGGAGGCAGATACAGTAGGGGCATTTAAGGGACTTTTAGATAAGCATATGAATATGCAAGGAATGGAGGAATATGGACCAAGGGCAGGCAGAAGGGATCAGTTTAATTTGGCACAACATTGTGGGCCAAATAGCCTGTTCCTGTGCTGTAGTGTGCTATGTTTTATGTTCTAGGTCCATAGCCTTGAATATTATGACATTTCGAGTGCTCACCCAAGTAGTTTTTAAAAGGTTGTGAGGTTTCTTGCCTCAACTACCCTTCCAGGCATTGCATTTGAGACCCTATCACCTTCTGGGTGAAAAAGACTTTCCTCAAAACCCTACTAAAGCCCTTGCCTTTCACTTTAAAATTATGCCCTTTGTTAGTTACCCTTCAACTAAGAAGAATAACTGCTTTCTATCAACTCCATCCATGCCCTCATAATCTAACACACTTCTATCAGGACCCTCTTCAACCTTCTCAGCTCCAAAGAAAACAACCTGCGCTTATCCAGCCTCTCTTCACAACTGAAATCTCCAACCCAGGAAACATCCTGGTGAATCTCTCCTGCACGCCCTTCCACTGCAATCACATTATTCCTATAGTGTAGAGAACAGAACTGCAAGCAGTGCTCCAGCTGTGGCCTAACCAAAGTCCTTAAGAGTTCCAACATAATCTCCCTACTCTTATTATCTATGCCACCACTGATAAAGGTAAGTGTCCTGTATGCCTTCTTAACTACCCTATTAACTTGTCTTGCCACCTTCAAGGTTCTGTGGACAAGCACCCTAAGATCCTTCTGTTCCTGAGTTTCCTAATGTCCTGCCATTCATTGTGTAGTCCCTAATCTTGTGACTTCTTCCAAAGTACATCACCTCACACTCATCAGGGTTAAATTCTATCTGCTACTGATCTGCCCATCTGATCAATCTGTTTATATAACCTCCTATAAACTAAAACCTTCTTTCACACTATCAGGCACTGGCCAATCTTTGCGTCATCTGTAAACTTACTTCTTGCCCCCTCAACATGCTCATCTACATCATTTATGAATATCCTAAACAGTAAGGGACCCAGCACTGATCCCTGTGGTACACCACTGCACAGCGTACTCCAGTAATACAAACGTCCTTCTGCCACTACCTTCTGTCTCCTGCGATTAAGCTAATTTTGGATCCAAAAGTGTATTGTGTAGAACTGGGTGCAATAATTTACTCAGAAAAAACATGTTTCTTTTCCCTAATTATTGGCATATCACTTACCATATAGCTGTTAAATGCATTGGAGTCATCATCCACCATGGCGATGAGCTCATTCATTGTATGATGGAGTGGAGTGATCAGTCTCCTCATTGAACCATCCAGATGATCAAATTGTCGCTTGCCATAGGTCATTAATCCAACCATTGAGCCCAGGGCCGCACCCTAGTGAAATGATGGAAACCAAGGAGTCAAGAACCATTGTATAGAGAGACTGAGGACAAACTCTCATTGTAAGAAATGTTTTTGGGCATGCAGTGAGACATAAGTGGAGTGGTGGGGAATAGACACATTTATCTGTGTCAGGATAGATCCTTAAGGGTTTTTGTGGCATCATTGCAGAACAATGTCATTAGGAGATAGCACAATTCTTGTTGCACAAAGGTGACACAAAGTTGGGAGAGACAGTGAACTGAAAGGACCATCCAGAGATGCTTCAGTATAATTTGGACAAGCGGAGTGAATGGGCAAATGCAGCATATAATGTGGATAAATGTGAGGTTATCCACTTTGGTAACAAAAACGGGAAAGGAGATTATTATCTGAATGATGAGAGAGTGGGAAAGAAGGAGGTGCAATGAAACGTAGGTATCCTTGTACAGCAGTTATGGAGTCATGGAGATGTACAGCACGGAAATAGGCCCATTGGTTCTACTCATCCATGTTGACCATATATTCTAAATTAATCCAGTTCCACTTGCAAGCATTTGGCCCATATCTCTCAGAACACTTCCTATTCACATACCCATCCAGATGCCTTTTAAATGTTCTAATTGTACCAGCCTCCACCACATCCTCTGGCAGCTCATTCCATACATGCACTACTCTCTGGGTGAAAAAGTTGTCCCTTAGGTCCCTTTCAAATCTTGCAGTTTCACATGCAGGTTGGTCCCCTTATCTGAGGAAGGATGTCTGGTTATGGAGGGAGTGCAGCAATTTTTACCAGATTAACCTTTGGGATGGCAAGAGACTGGATCGGTTAAGACTGTATTCACTGAAAGTTAGAAGAATGATGGGGCATCTCATAGTCACCTTTAAAATTCTAACAGGGCTAGACAGCTCACAAACCCAATAATTGAGCACTGGTAACTTTAAAATTAATAATTAGGAATGCTTTCCTGTATTTGTGAATTTGGTACCACCACTTTTACCAATAAATGAATCACAGCAATAGCATGGCTGTGTATCTCATGGCAGAGATAATTCATGGGGCTGGCGCTGAATTGCTTCTTGAACTGAAGATTGATCGGAAACTTTAATGTACAAACCATGGCAGCCACAGCTGCAGTGACAGAGCCTCCACCAGGGGCTGCAGACCGAGCTCCAACACTTCGGATAAACTCCCGCAAAGGCAAAGAAACAAGGAGACTCTCCTGCTCCTCCTGCACCATGTATCTGATGAAAACAAGGGAAACATAATAACTGCAACTTTCTCAAATCACTAGGAACACTCATAAATCATCAATCTACAAACAGTAGTGCTGTAAATTAAACAAAATACACCATCAGTTTAAGAAAAATTGCAAATCTTTTTAACCATTGGGTGCACATTTTGTTAACGTTACTTGTAATAACCCAGACAGATATTGGCTGTGATAATCACTCTGGCGTGTAAACCATGAATGTTATCAAACAGGTTTGTGTAATATCAGATTGGTTATAGATCTATCAAATGGTCAATTTATGACAGACTCAATGCAATTGATAAAGGCTGGGAAGATTCTTGTTTCTTCGCTGTTACAACAGGCAGAGTGCTCCATTTTGAGAGCTCAGAACATAGTGATATAATGTCTGATTTTAGATAAAATTCTGCAATTAGACAGCACTTGTGAAACAATCTAAGGTATTACACGAACCAGCAATTCAGCATGATCAGTCAGGCTGACAGATTCACATATGCATACTAGAAGATGGAACCCTATCCTTGAAAACACAAAGAACATTTGTTCCTGGGTGGCACAGTTGCTCAGTGGTTAGCACCGCTGCCTCACAGTGCCAGGGACCCAGGTTTGATTCCACCCTCAGGTGACTGTGTGGAGTTTGCACATTCTCCCCATGTCTGCGTGGGTTTGCTCTGATTTCCTCCCACAGTCCAAAGATGTGCAGGGTAGGTGGATTGGCCATGCTAAATTGCCCATAATGTCGAGGGATGTTTAGGTTAGTTGAGTTAGACATGGAAATGCAGAGGTAGGGGAATGGTTCTGGGTGGGATGCTCTTCGGAGGGACGGTTTGGACTTACTGGGCCGAATGGCCTGTTTCCACACGTTAGGGACTCTATAACATGTTCTTCCAACTAAATAGAAACTTTGGTGAGGAAGGAGCCATTCCCTGGTGTGTTCTCCATGGCAGTCTTTCAGCCTGTCTGGTTTGAATTTAAACAAAGCGTTGTCAGTTTACAAGGTGTAGAGCTGGATGAACACAGCAGGCCAAGCAGCTCTCAGATTCTCCAGCATCAGCAGTTCCTACTATCTCTGAATTGTCAGTTTACTGTTCCTTTCTGAATTCTCCATGGCAACAAATTGTGGCCCACTTTGAGATTTGGTTTTGTGATTCTATTCCCAATGAGTGTAGGACAGGAAAAATTGACAAAATGTTCCATGTTTCAAGAACACTCAAGTCCTGTACAATCAAATAATCATTAATAAACTGGTATCAGTGTAATCACTGATTTCTTAGGCCCCAGTCAACCTTGGTATTCTTTACTACAATTGATTTGGAATGTATCATATTGAGATTTCAAAAACTTCATAGTCATGGAGACATAGAGATTTACAGCACCGAAAACATTCCTTTGGCACATTGCATCTACGCCAGTCAAAAATAACTACCAGCAATTCTAATCCCATTTTCCGGCACTTGGTCCATAGTCTTGTATCCCTCAGTATCACAAGCGTACATCTAAATATTTCTTGAATGTTATGAGGGTTTCTGCCTTGATCAGTGAGTTCCAGATGCTCACCACCCTCTGGGTGAAAAAGTTTTTCCTCATATCTCCTCTAAACCTTTTGCCCCTTAATTCTATGCCCCTGGTCACTGAGCCTTCCATCAAGGACAGAAGTTTCTTCCTGTCCACCCTATCTATATCCCTCATAATCTTATACATCTCAATCACGTCCCCTCTCAATCTCCTCTTTTCTACAATCTCGCTTTATAACTGAAACTCTCTAGCTCAAGCAACATCCTGGTAAATCTCTCCTCTTCCTCCTAATGGTCCCAGGTAGCAAAACCTCCCTATTTTTATACTCTAAAAATTTGCTTTCTCTACTACTCATTGAACTTGGATTCTAGCTTTTATGATTCATGGACAAGAACTCATTTCTGAGTTCTGTAGCTTTTTGCAGCCTTCACCATTTAATGTTATTCAACTCCTTTATTCTTCCTGCCAAAGTGCATAACCTCACATCTCCCCACACTATATTCCATCTGTCCAGCTTGTGCTCACTCACTAAACCTGTCTAGATCCCTGTGCAGACTCTTGGTGTCATTCTCACCACTTGCCTTTCCACCTATTTTTATATCATCTGCTAACATAGTTTTAGTACATTCTCAATAAAAACCGAAAGAACTGCGAATGCTGTAAATCAGGAACAAAAACAAAGTTGCTGGAAAAGTTCAGCCGGTCTGGCAGCATCTATGAAGGAAAAAACAGTTAACGTTTTGGGTCCAGTGACCCTTCCTGCTCACCAATTCCACTCTCCCACTCACCCACCCTTCAGTTCTGATGAAGTGTCACCGGACCTGAAACATTAACTCTGTCTTTTCCTTCACAGATGCTGCCAGACATGCTGAGCTTTTCCAGCAACTTTGTTTTTGTTTAGTACATTCTCTTTCCTCATCGAAATCAGTAATATGTATTGTAAATAATTGTGGCTCCATTACCAACACGCATACATGCACACACACAGAGACATAAACACACACGGAATTACAGACATATACACAAAAATACACGCATGCTGCTGAGTGCTTAAACACATTGGCTTCTCCTTCTCTTCCTTCTCCTCTTCTCTCTCCAAAATCCTATTAACATGCTAAGCAGTGACAGGATGAGAACTGAAGCTGAAAGGCTATTCACTTTTAACCCCTCCCCCACCTAACTTTCATATGTATTTCAATGAAGTCAGTGAACTTTAACGCTAACCCTAATCCTTTCACAAGTGTGTCCTGAGCTCAAATGTAACCTTCCCTGCTGATAAAGATTTAGTAGTTTTCCTTAAGTAAAAATAAAAAAAGTTTTCTTAATTAGCTCTGCTGCTTGGTACCTTTTAATGCTCATCTTTTCCAAATTCTATTTTTATCATTTCCAATTTACTGGTTTCCAACATTTTTTTGGCTTGGCAGGTTTTGGAGGGACTGTGGTGCCCTTACTGAGTTACAACAGCCATTCTCCTGCGCTTACTGATCCAAATGCTTACCCCTCAAAAAAAAAACCATTTTACCCCTCATCAACACCACTGTCCCACTTAATCTTCTGGATGAGCTACCATGAGGGACCTTGTTGAAAGCCTTACTAAAATCCATGTAGAAAACATCCACTACTCTACCTTCATTGCTCACCTTTGTCATGTCCTCAAAAGCAAGACAAAGGGTGACAAGAGACCTGAGGGTGTGGGAGTAGAGGGGGAGAAATAAGTCTGCTCTCTGCTCACCAATTCCACTCTCCCACTCACCCACCCTTCTGCCCCCTCACCATTCCAGTCACCCCTCACCAACCCCACTCTCCCCTCAACCAATCCCACTCTCCCCCTGGCACTCACATATTCCACTCTATCTTACCAATCTCACTCTGCCCCTCACCAACTCCACTTTACTCCTCACCCACCGCACTATCTGCTTCATCCAGCCCACTCTCCACTCTCTCACACTCCACTCCACCTCATCCAATACCACTCTGCCCCTCACCAACTGCAGTCCCCGCTCATCAACCCCAACTCTCGACTCACCAAAACTACTTCCCCCCCGCCCGCCAACGCCATTAACCCCTTCACCAACTCCATTCTCACTGCTCACTAACATCACACTCTCCCCTCACCAATCCCACCCCCTCACCAACCCGTTCTCACAGACTTATTTCTCCCCCACTACTCCCACACCCTCAGGTCTCTTGTCACCCTTTGTCTTGCTTTTGAGGACGTGACAAAGGTGAGCAATGAAGGTAGAGTAGTGGATGTTTTCTACATGGATTTTAGTAAGGCTTTCAACAAGGTCCCTCATGGTAGCTCATCCAGAAGATTAAGACGAGTAGGATCCATGGTGTCTGGCCTTGTGGATTCAGAATTGGCATGCCCATAGAAGGCAGAGACTGGTGGTGGAAGGGTGTTTTTATGGCTGGAGGTCTGTGACTTGTAGTTTTCCGCAGGGATCTGTACTGGGACTTCTGCTGTTTACGATATATGTAAATGACTTGGATGAAAATGTTGATGGGTGGGTTAATAAGTTTGTAGATGACACAAAGATCACTGAAGTTGTGGATAATGTAGAAGGTTGTCAAAGGATACACCAGGATATACATCAGTTGCACATATGGTGGAGAAAAGGTAGCTGGAGTTTAATCCAGGCAAGTGTTGAGGTGCTGATCTTTGGGAGAGCAAACGTTAGGGAAAAGTATACAGTTAATGGCAGGATCCTGAACAGCATTGACGTACAGAGGGATCTTGAGGTTTAATGTCGATAGCTCCCTGAAAGTGGCCATGCAAGTAGATAGGGTGGTAAAGAAGGCATATGGCATTCTTGGGGAATTGGTTGGGGAATGGAGTACAAGAGTCAGGATGTCATGTTGCAGATTTATAAATCTTTGGTTAGGCCACACTTAGAGTATTGCGTTCAATTCAGTTCACCACATTACAGGAAGGGTGTAGAAGCTTTGGAGAGGGTGCAGAAGGGGTTTACCAGGATGCTACCTGGATTAGAGGTTATGAACTATAAGAAGAGGCTAGAAAAACTTGGGTAGTTTTCTCTGGAGTGGCAGAAGCTGAAGGGAGACTTGATAGAAGTCTATAAAAGTATGAGATGCATAGATGGGATTGACGGTCAGAATCTTTTCCCCAGAATATAAATGTCTAAAACTAGGGGACATGCATTTAAGGTGAGAGGGGGCAAGTTCAAAGGGGATATGAGGGGCACATTTTTTTACTCAGAGAATGGTAGGCATGTGGAAGGTGCTGCCAGGGTGGTGGTGGAGGCAGATACGATAGGGGCATTTAAGTGACTTTTAGATAAGTACATGAATAGGCAAGAAGTGGAGGGATACGAACCAAGGGCAGGCAGAAGGGGGATTAGTTTAGTTTAATTTGGTGTCATGTTCAGTACTACATCGTGGGCTGTGCTGTGCAGTTCTATGTTCTATGTTCTGTTTCAAAAAAGAAACTAATTCTTCATAAGAAGCTCCATCACTTACTCAATTATTCTTTCTTTAGCATTGAATGGAGCAAGAGAATCGAGGCCCAGACGACTGATAACCTGCAGCAAAGTAGATGCAGCAACACTGTTATTAGGAACATAGATATGGAGATGCTAGTGATTACTAATTACTTGCGATTATCTCTCCACCTTGATTAGTCTGTACAGTTTTTGATTACTTGTTACTTTGGTTAGACCCTCGTCATGCAATTCTGATATCTACTCTCGTTATTCCAGCCCATTGGTTTATCTCTAGCACCATCTTATGTTTGATTATTTGTAATTATCTCTCTGAGTTAATTAATCAGTTCATAGGTCATTCCTTCACTTGTTATTCAGCCTGTCGACGCTCTACTCACACTATTTGTAGTAATCTGTGGACACTTAATTACCTGGAATTATTTTGCCATTATCTTTCCACCTATATATTCTGTGCCAATGAGCCTCCCTCCACTTTACCTGACAAAGGAGCACCGCTCCGAAAGCTTGTGATTTTATAAAAATCTGTGGGACTATAACTTCGCATTGTGAGAGCTCTGACTTTGGCAACATAAAACAACTCAAAGAGAAGGCCATTCAGCCCCTCCAGTCCATTTAGTTGTTTCATGGCTGACCTCCATTTGGTCACTCGAATTTTTAACCATTGTCTAACAGAAATAAAAAGATGTGGTGAATACAGTTCAAAAGAACATGGATTTAGGAAAAACAGTAGCATCTTTAAAAACTGATTTGTACATTGCTGGTTATGGCAAGCATGGAGCTATCCCACACATACCTGATACGGTTCGATGGAGGTGTACCCCTCACAAGTAATATGGTAGGATGGAGATAGCCCATAATAACCTCATTCTATCTATGAAGGTATGCATTCCATGTTCAAGTGGAGATGCCCAAGAGGAATTGGGGTGGCGTGGGGTGGGGTGGGGAGCGGAGCTGTAGTATAATGGGAAGCAAATGTTAATGATGATGATACTCTGACTTTGACAGTCACATGATATAAAAATGCAGAGGAAAGAGGAATGGACACACTGCACCTGAGAACTGTGATCAGTATTCTGATGATTATTGTGTAAACAAAGGGAGGGACAGTTAGTCTTAGCTAAGGTTAGGGTAGAGCTGCAGCAGGTCCAGCACAAAAGCAAACTAGATGGACAGAGTGGCCTCAGGAGAGGAATATAGACACGCAGTGGTCAGATGGTAGACAGAATCTGTGAGGGGAGATGACATAAGGTGAGGCATTGTGAATTGTGAGAAAGAAAGTGCTAGATTCCAGGGTGACATAGATGGTCTGGTGGGCTTGTGAAACCTGTAGCAGATGACCACTTAATGCAGAGCAGTGCAAAACAATTTACATTCACTGGTGTGAAGAATAAAGAGGCACAAAATAAAGGGTACACAGGAATTGAAAGATCTTAGGGCATACAAGTACAAATCATTGAAGGTGACTGTGCAAGCTTCAGAATGTGGGCAAGAAGGTATATAGACCCTTGGGCTTCATAACTCAAAAGATAGGAATCAAACACAAGGAAGTTGTGATGAAACTTGATTAAACACTGAGTCAGCCCCAACTAAAAACTAAACTGTTCAGTTTAGGGAGGTTTTAGAGAGGACACAGAGAGACAAAGTTTCCAGGCATGAGGAACTTCAGTTACGATGATGAACTGAGGAAGCTGGGACTATTCTCCTTGGAGAAGTGTATGTTGAGAGATTTGATGGAGGTTTTGAAAAGCCTGAAGTATTTTGGTCCATTTGGAGTTCGGTCAAAAAACTGTTCCCTTTGGTAAAGGGAGTTAGAGGACACAGTAGAAGATGGATGGGTAAAATACCAATGATGACAGAAACATTTTGTTCTTATGCAGCAAATGGTTAGGATCTCAAATACTGTGCCCAAGAGGGAAATGGAGGCAGGTTCAATTGAGACATTCAAATTGGAATGAGAAACAGTAGAGGAGAAAGCTGTGCGTAGGATATATGAAAGGCTCAGGAAGTGGGACCCACTGATTTATCTTGAACAGAGAGCTAGCATGCACTTGAGGGGTTGAGTGGCCCCGTTTGTGCTTGAATTGTACAATCATTAGTTACACAATAACAAAACAGAGTTTTTTGTTACAGGAATTGAGAAGCTATCAATAGTGTTGAGGTTGTAAACATTAGCTATTCGACAATAAGTCCATTAGGGAATTCAGGAAAATCATCATTACCCAGAGATACACAACTTCCTCACAGCCATTGAGGGAATTCACACAGATATACTGACACAACTACTTGATAGGTGGCTGTGGTGATAAAGTTAAAAAAGTAAGATTGAGGTGGCCTGTGGGAACATAAATGTTAGCATAGGCCAAATGGCCTGTTTCTGTGCTGTTTATGTGATTGTAATGATTAGATTCCCTTCCCAGACCTGATCAGGTGACTGACTGCTGAAGAATCTCTACTTTCCTGCACCTTCTGCCTACAACCAATGGAAGTGAATTACCAAAAGCTCCTAGGCTGGGAAGGGGATCTGAGACAGACTCATTTGGTTATCAAGTGTGACTGCTGCTCACATGGAGGGGCACCAAACCGAGACAAAGGAATTCCTAACCTTAACCCTGAACCATTCCCTGTCATCTGCAGTCAGCACACATACCAGTCGAACTTTGTGCTCTTCCTCGAGGATAAATAAGTTTTCTTTCTTCATATAAAACTCTGCAGCATCCATCAGGGATTTCAAAGGGATGAGACCAACAATTTGAGAGCCAACGACAGGCAAGTCTAAATCCTATGGAGAGAACAGCACATTACAAGGGCAAAAATTGAGCTCCCGTCTTCATTCATGATCTCAGGTATACTAAATGGCAAATCACTTTAAATCTCATTACTCGGAGTGGAAAATGTTGAAGTGTGTGTGCTTCGTCTCCTGACTGTCAGTTGGAGAGCACTTTGGGTGGCTAGGGAGAGAATAGGTCCCCTTAAAGACCAGCATGGCCATGTATGTGTGGAGCCACAGGAAATGGGGGAGAATTTTAGTGAATATTTCTCCTCAGTGTTTACTGAGGAGAGAATCATAGATGCAAAGGAAATAAGTGGAGATGTTTTGGACCGCATATATATTACCAGAGAGTAGGTGTTTGCAGCCTTAGATCGCGTTGAAGTGGATATATCCCCAGGGCCTGATCAAGTCCATCCTTAGACGTTGTGGGAGGCTAGGGAAGACATTGCAGACGCTCTTGCAGAGATTTTTGCTTCATCATAAGCCACTGGTGAAGTTTCAGAAGACTGGAGAGTGGCTAATGTTGTTCCATTGTTTACGAAAGGTAGCAAAGACAAGCCAGGGAATTAAAGGCCAGTGAGCCTAACATCAGTAGGCAAGTTATTGGTGAAGATACTGAGGGACAGGATCAACCAACATTTGGATAGTCAAGGTCTGATTAGGGATACTCAGCATGTATTTGTGCATGGGAAATCATGTCTAACAAACCTTTTAGAGTTTTTCGAAGAGGTAACGAAGAGGATGGATGAGGGTAGGGCAGTGGATGTTGCCTATATGGACTTTATTAAAGCCTTTGACAAGGTCCCACATGGCAGGCTAGTCATGAAAGTTAGGTTGCAGGGGATCCAGGGACAGCTAGCTAATTGGATTCAAAACTTGCTTGATGATAGGATGCAGAGGGTGATGCTTGAAGTATTCTGTACAATTTTGGTCACCTGTTATAGGAAAGACATAGTGGGGGCGGCACTGTGGCTCAGTGGTTAGCACTGCTGCCTCACAGCACCAGGAATATGGGTTCGATTCCAACCTCAGGCGACTGTCTGTGTGGAGTTTGCACATTCTTCCCATGTCTGCGTGGGTTTCCTCCAGTGCTCCAGTTTCCTCCCACAGTCTGAAGATGTGCAGACTAGGTGGATTGGCCATGCTAAATTGCCCATAGTGTACAGGGATGTATAGATTAGATGGGTTACGGGGGATAGGTCTGGGTGGGATGCTCTGAGGGTCAGATTGGACTTGTTGAGCTGAAGGGCCTGTTTCCACACTGTAGGGATTCTATGGTTTATGGTACTGGGAAGAGTGCCAAGAAGATTTACAAGGATGTTGTCAGGAATACTAGGCCTGAGTTATAGGGAGATGTTGGCCAAGATATGACTTTATTTCTTGTAATGTAGGAGAATGAGGGGTGACCTTATTGAGATGTATAAAATTATGAGGGGAATAGAAACGATGAATGTATATATTCTTTTTCTTAGAGATGGGGAATTGAAAACTAGAGGGCATAGGTTTAAGGTGAGAGGGGAAAGATTTAAGAAGGACCTGAGGGTTAACTTCTTCACATAGATAGTGGTGCATATATGGAATGGGCTGCCAAAGAAAGTGGTTGAGGCAGGTACAACAGCAACATTTAAAAAAACATTTGGATAGGTACATGGATGGGAAGGGGTTTGACGGATATGGACCAAATGTGGGCAATTGGAACTAGCTGAGTGGACACCATGATCAGCATGGACCAGTTTGGGCTAAAGGGCCTGTTTCCATGGTGTATTACTCTATGACTCAATTACTCTATGACTGTTTCTTGTTTTTACTGTAAATAGCCTGAATGGTGAGGACATGCTATTGACAATGCAGTTTACTTTGGGCAGTACGGAACTGAGGTTGTACAAACGACAGTATGTGTGGCTTCTCACAGTACCTTGGCATCCTTACAGACTTCTTCGAATACTGTGTGCAGTGCAGTCACTTCGAAATCAAGAAGATTAGTGGAGACCTGGGCAATATTGGCTTCCTCTAAGTACCAGCCAATAGCTTGCACTTTATTCAGACGTCCAGGCTACACAAACACAAACGATCAGTCAGAGACCAACACCTCCAAAATGGTTCAAAATGTTAATTTACAATGAATTCTCAGGCAAATTGTACGCAGGTTTTGGACTCAGCAACAGTGACGCTTATCACCTCAGTCACATTGACACTTGGGAACTCCTGGTTCTGAAAGTGTTGCCAGACTCAAAAAGTTAAGTCTTGTTTTCACTTTATTCCACCTCGTGGCGCCGCAGCCCACATTCGAACACAATGCCCTCTGCAAATGAGCTTCACTCCTCCTCCATTCCTCACTCTGCTTAACGCCCGTTTCATTCCTCACTCTGCTTCACTCCACCTCAATTCCTCACTCTTCTTCACTGCTCCTCCATTCCTCAACCTGTGTCAGTCCTCCTCCATTCCTCAGTCTGCTTCAACTCCTCCTCCATTCCTCAGTCTGCTTAAACTCCCCCTCCAGCCCCTGAGCTCCAGAATGGGTCCCATCTTGCTCACTCAATCCTGCTGGTTTAGGGGTTAGTCGGGAACATGCCACGTGTACATCTGCTGCCCCAATTTGTCAGGTTTTCTGACATGTGACAGCGCATTTCTGCCTGTGACCTAACTACTGGTCCTTTCACACCCCTGAGGTATCCGTGATGACATAGCTGTCCTCATGAAGCACCTGCCAAAATGTGTGTCAAAGAGGGCCTGATGTAACTGCTGAGCTGTGTCTGCACACTGCCGCTCAAGGTAGTGCTGAACTATCTGATTCCATACGCTGGAATGACAGATGCTGTTCCTCTCCCTTCGAGTTAATGACCCCTACAATCAGATTTACTAGAAAAGCAGTGACATCCCAGACTCGCTATTCCTACCTTATAGGTTGAGTGAATAATAACATGGGCATGATGTTGGCAACAGCAGATTGGTTGAAGCGCAGGTGCAGTACATGAACCCTTTGTCAGGAAAATTAAGCTGGATGCTTCTGGATATCATATGCAGTCTGTTGTGATGGGTCAAGAACACATGGATTTGTTTTAAAGGGGTCTTTCTGTTCATTTGTTCATGGAATGCAGACAGCAGGCATTTGTTGTCCCTTAAACTGTGTGATTTGCTAGGACTATGTCAGAGGGCAATTAAGAGTAAACCACATTGCTGTGGGTGAGGAGTCACATGTAGGCTCAACTGGGTACGGACAGCAGATTTCCTTCTTTAAAGGACATTAGGGAACCAGATGAGTTTTTACAACAATCAATGATCATTTCATGATCACCATCACGGAGGCTAGCTTTTGTATTCCTAACTTGTACAAGGGCTTAGCTGGAGTACTGCGTACTGTTATGGGTGTAACAATATAGGAAAGATGTGAATGCATTGGAGAGAATGCAGAAGCGATTTACAAGAATGATTCCAAGATGAGAAACTTCTGTAATGAGGATAGATTAAAGAAGTTGGGACTGTTCTCCTTGGAGAGAAGTGTGAGAGGAGATTTGATAGACGTTTTCAACATCATGAGCAGGCTGGATAGACTAGACTGGGAGAAGCTGTTCCCACTCATAAAAGCAGCAAGATTTAAAGTAATATGCAAATTAAGCAAAGGGTGATGTGAGAAAATCTTATTCACAATGTGAGTAGTAAGTGTCTGGAATGCACTGCCTGGAAATATAGTGGAGGTAGGTTCCATTGAGACATTCAAGAGGATGGTTATTTGGGTAGAAATGGTATGCAGGGAAGCGGGGAAAACGTAGGAGATTGGCACTAGATATTGATACTCATTTGAAGAGCCAGTGCATGCATGAAAGGCCAAATGGCCTCCTTCTGCTCCATAACAATTCAGTAATTCTGTAATTTATTGCAGGGTGCACTAAAATCTCTTGCCAAACTTATGTTGAAGAACACTAACCTGGTCCCTACCTCGACCTTGCTCTCGGATATTGAGAGCTATGCGGTGAGCTTGCTCCTTCGTGCTCAGCAGATTGACATTGAATGCGATGAGGAAATTCCGGGCTCCAGCCACTGTGGCCCCCCAGCGTGGGACAAAAGTCGCCCTCCCAAAGTCTGGGCTCCACTCTGGATTTTGCAGCTGTAATAGGACAAGTTGTTGCATTACACAGACACATCACTGGGCTGCCAGGGAAGGGAGGCTTCACTCTGTCTCTCCTTGTAGATGTCTCCATTGAAAAAACACAACCTTTTCCACTCAATCCCAGCTCCAGTGAGATTTCAACAAATGCTCCGAGACCTTGTTCCATAGAAAGTCACCCGCCCATTTGACTGGGCTCTGTATGGAACAGTGAAGAACAAACTGTGCCTCCAAACCCTGCAGTCCCAGCTGAGGAATCATTTAATTATTCTTTCTGCAAGTCCGAGTCTGAGGGAAAAAAGCAAATTGTTCTTCAGCAAATTTGCATTTAGTTCCCTCATTTAAATCATTAAATATATATTGTAAATAGCTGGTGTTCTAGCCTTGATCCTTGTGGTACCCTACTGTCCATTTGGAAGAAGACGCGTTTATTCCTACTTTTTGTTTCCTATCTGCCAACCAATTTCCTATCCATTCTCAATACTTTATTCCCAATATTACACACTACTTTCTTAAGTGGGACTTTGTCAAAAGTGTACTGAAAATCCAAATAAACCATATCCACTGACTCCCTCTCATCACCTCTACGAGTTACATCTTTGAAGAATTCCAGTAGATCTGTCAAGTATGATTTCCCTTTTGTAACTCCATGCTGACTACAGTCAATCCTTCCACGATTTTCCAAATGCTCAGAAATAAAACTTTTACAACGGACCTTAGTATTTTCCTGATTTCTGATGTCAGGCTTACTGATATAACACAGTGTGGAGCTGGAGGAACACAGCAGGCCAGGCAGCAGAGGAGCAGGAAAGCTGACGTTTCAGGGACCCTTCTTCAGAAATGGGGGAGGGGAAGGTGGTTCTGAAATAAATAGAGGGGGGGAATTGGGCTGGGAAAGGTAGATGATAGGAGGTAGGTAGTGGTGGGGATTGGTCAGTGTGATGGGAGGAGCGGATAGGTGGGAGAGAAGACAGACAGGTCAAAGAGGCAGGGATGAGAGGGAGGGTTGGTCTAGGAATGAGGCCGGGGAGATTTTGAAGCTAGTAAAAGGTGGGATGGTGATAGGTGAGTGCAGGTTGGTCAGTGAGATGGGAGAAGTCTGAGTCACGCTTACTGGTATCCCTTTGTCCCGCTTTTCTGAATTCTAAACTGCTCCCACTCCTCAGGTTTGTTTTTTTTTCTCCTGGTCAATTTGTATATTGCTATTACATGGAAACATAGAAAATATGAGCAGGAGTAGGCTATTCGGTCTTTCTGCCATTCAGTGTGTGATCATCCACCTCAGTACCCTGTTCCCACATTTGCATGATACCCTTTGATCCCTTTAGCCCAAAGAATTATATCTATCTCCTTCCTGAAAACATTCAATGTTTCGGCCTCAACTGCTTTCTGTGAGATCTCATTTAAAACAGAAATCAGAATAGAACATTACTGCTCTCAAAAGGTTATGGATCTGTGGAATTCAATACCCTAGTGTATGGTGGATGCTGGGTCATTGAATAAATTTAAGGAGGAGCTAGACAGATTTTTAATTAGCAATGGTTTGAATGGTTACGGGGAATGGACAGGAAAGGAGGGTTTAGGCCGAGATGAGATCAGCCATAATCATATTAAATGATGGAGCAGGCTCAAGGGGCTGAATGGCCTACTCCTGCTCCTAGTTCTTATGTTCTCATATTTGTTCTTAAGAGGTGCCAATGTTTAAAGTTTAGGCAAAGATCAAAGCTTGGGTTGTGGGTGAGGTTGTTGACTTGCTCACTGAGCTGGCTTGTTTTCGTTCAAACGTTTCGTCACCACGCTAGGTTACATCATCAGTGGAGCCTCCAATGAAGTGATGTTATTCTACTCCGCTTGGAATATATACTGTCTGGTCCATTATGGTGATTAGTGTCATTTCTGGTTTTGACCTGTATGGGTTTGTATATGGGCTGGAGATTGGACAGATTAATGTTGTTTTCCTTAGAGCAGAGGAGATTGAAAGGCGACACGATTAAGATGTATAAAATTATGATGGGCATAGACAGAGTAGACAGGAAGAAACTTTTCTCCTTGCTGGAGGGATCAATGACCAGAGGACATAGATTGAAGGTAAGGGGCAGAAGGTTTAGAGAAGATGCGAGGGAAAACTTTTTCAACCAGAGGGTGGTGGGAATCTGGAACTCACTGCCTGTAAAGGTGATAGAGGCGGAAACTCTCCTAACATTGAAGAAGTATTTAGATATGCACTTGTGATGCCACAGCATACAAGGCTATGGGCCAAGTGCTGGAAAGTGGGATTACAATAGTTAGGTGGTTGTTTTGACTGGCACTGGTGCGATGGGCCAAAGAACCTTTTTTTCTGTGCTGTAGACCTCTATGACTGGAAAACTCTCTGCAGTTTGTCTGCCTGCTCCCACAAACAAATGGGTATGTAATGGCTAGCCTTCATCTGACTATCTGATTCCCCCAACCTTTTCCCACTCATCTTTTGCCTCTCTGTTTGGTTCAAGAGCCAGTGGGCTTCTCCAACAAGGTATTCAAATCTACACTCACCCTTTCTTTAAGAATCTCAAGTATTTGATATTGTTAACCTCAACTCAAACAGCTTATCTTGGGGCACTTATGGTGCTGTGTAATGTCCCTACCTCTGAGACAGGAGGTTCGGGATCAAGTCCGACCTGTTCTAGAAATGTTTCATAATGTCTCTGAACAGCTAGATCATAAAATATCTGAAGTGTTATCCTGCGAATGACTGCTGTGACATAGAAGCAGTCCCTCACTACTGTACCAATCCATCAACCTGGAGGATGTAGGAGAAGGTTGAAGCCATAGAGCTTCCAATTGGAAAGCTGGAGTGTGTCAAGCTAACCTCAAGCATCAGAAAGTGAGACAGGCCGAGAATTAGTCTGCACAGAACTAAAGGCTGACAAATATATGGAGCAGCTGGCTGGTGGAGCAAGCTGAAGCACACTCCTTTCTCCCACATTTAGCATAACGTCTGGCATTGAATCCTTCCTGCTTCCTGAACCAGAATCTGGCAGATGGAGTTTAATGTGGATAAATGCGAGGTTGTTCATTTTGGCTGGAAAAATAAAAAGGCAAATTGTTATTTAAATGGGAAGCAGATTCAAAATGTGTCACTGCAGAGAGATCTGGGTGTCTTTGTGCATGAATCATAGAAATTGGATGTATAGGTGCAGCATATGATAAGAAAGGCAAATGGAGTTCTGAAATTTATTGTAAAAAGACTGGATTATAAAAGTAAAGGAGTGTTGTTACAATTATATAAGGCATTGGGGGAGACCACATCAGGAATATTGAGTCCAGTTTTGGTATCCTTGAGAAAGGATCTGGTGGCACTGGAGGCAAATCAGAGGAGGTTCACAAGGTTCCAGGATGAAAGGGCTATCGTATGAGGAGTGGTTGAATGGCTTAGGCTTGTATTTGTTGGAGTTCAGAAGAATTAGAAGGGATCTGATTGAGGTATATAAAATGCTAAAGAGGATTGATAAGGTGGATGTTGACCAGATGTTCTCCTTGTGGGACAGTCTTGAATAAGAGATCATACATATAGATTGAAAGGAGGTAGGTTCAAAACTGAGATAAGGAGAAACTACTCTCTGAGGGTTGTGAACCTATGGAACTCACTGCCACAGCGTGCAGTGGAGGCTGAATCAATCAACAGATTCAAGAAAGAAATAGATATATTTCTGATGTAGAGCGGGATAAGGGCCTATGGGGAGCAAACAGGAAAGTGGAGTTGAGACCAGGATAAGATCAGCCATGTTAAATGGTGGAGTGGGCTCAAAGTGCTGAATTGCCTACTCCCGCTCCTAATTCTTATGTTCCTGTACCTTCTCAGGGAGCCCTTCATATTCACCAGCACGAATGGTGGGCAATGTTCTCCGACGTTCATCATGAGCTGCTTCTGCGTATAAATACACTGTAAGGAGAATAAAGGAACTATTAGAATAAACACAAGATGCAGAAGCAGTGAGCTGTTTTTTCCTTTAGGAGTGTCCCTCACCACCCAGCCTCACAAGGAGCCACCCATGTTGTATTATGTCTCATAGTGAGTATACAGTACACCCTTAATCCTCTTTAGCATTTTATATACCTTTAAGAGGCACAGTCTGTCAGGACACCCTTAAGAGACACAGTGGTGATATTAGGAATGGCATTAAACAGAAAACCAGAGATACATGTGGTGAAGGAGACTTGTAATTATAGATGACTTTAATCTGCATATAGATCAGGCAAATCAAATTAATCACAATGCCATAGAGGAGGAATTCCTTGAGTGTATAAAGAGGGTTTGCTGGACCAATACATTGAGCAAATAACTCAGTTTAAGGCCATTTTCAACTGAGTACTATGCACGGAGATAGGAAAAATTGGTAATGAGAGATTGTGAGGGATCCTTTGAAGAATAGCACATAATATGATAGAATTCTCCACCAAAATGGACAGTGACGTAATTGATCCTGACACTAGGGTCCTGAATCTTAATAAAGGAAACTATGATGGTGTGAGTTGGGTATGATGGATTCGGAAAGGTTACTAAAAACAAATGACGGTGAATAGGCAATGGCAAACATTCAAAGAGCAAATGTGTGAACAATAAAAATTGTTTATCCCTGTCTGACTGGAATGCAAAGACAAGAGTGGCCAAATCATGTCTTACAAGGGAAGTTAGAGATAGTATTAAATCAACTGAACTCACCACATAAACACAGTGGTTACTAGAGCAGGTCAGAGGCTAGGAATACTGCAGCAAGTAATTCACCTCCAACTCCTCAAAGCCTGTCCATCATCTACAAGACCCAAGTCAGGAGTGTGATGGAATACACCCCACTTACCTGGATTGGTGTAGCTCCAACAACACTCCAGAAGGTTGACACCATCCAGGACAAACCAGCCCACTGGATTGGCACTACATCAACAAGAATCCACTCCCTCCACCACTGATGCTCAGTAGCGGCAATGTGTACTATTTACAAGATGCACTGCAGAAATTCACCCAAGATCCTCAGACAGCACCTTCTGAACCCATGACCACTTTCACCTAGAAGGACAAGGGCAATAGAAAGATGGGAACACCACCACCTGCAAGTTCCCCTCCAAGCCACTCACCATCCTGGCTTGGAAATGTATTGCTGTTCCTTCACTGTTGTTGGATTAAAATCCTGGAATTCCCTCCCTAATGACATTGTGGCTCAACTCACAGCAGGTGGACTGCAGTGGTTCACTCACCACCTTCTCAAGGGCAATTAGCGACAAGGTAAGAAATGCTGCAAGTCAGCAATGCCCACATCCCACGAATGAATAAACAAAAAATTAAATGCAAAAAGGAGGCATGCAAATTGGCAAGAAGAAAACAATAGACCTGAAGATTGGGAGCAATTTGGAAGTCAGCAAAGGAGGACCAAGGGATGATTAAAAAGAGAAAATAGAGTAATGAGAGTAAGCTTAAGGGAACATAAGAACTGATTTAAAAATTTCTATTGGTATGTAAGCAGAAAAAGATTGTAGAAAACTCATGTACGTCCCTTACAATCAGAAATGGGGCAACTTATAATCGGGAACAAAGAAATGGCTGATGAACTAAATTCATACTTTGCTGTCTTCAAAAGGTGGACACAAATAACGTACCAGAAATGATGAGGAACACAGGGTTAAATTAGTGGCAGGAACTGAAGCAAATCTATATTAGTATAGAAATGGTGATGGACAAATTGATGGGATTGAAGACTGATAAATCCCCAGGGCCTGATAATCTACTTTCCAGAGTACTTAAGGAAGTGACCATAAAAATTGTGGATGCATTGGTGGTCATCTTCCAAGATTCTTTAGACTCTGGCACAGTTCCTACAGATTGGAGGGTAGCTAACATAATCCTCCTATTTAAAAAGGGAGGTAGAGAGAAAACAGGGAATTAAATAGACTAGTGAATCTGACATTGGTAGTGGAGTAGATGCTAGAGTCCTTTATCAAGGGTTTTATAGCACGACACTCAATAAACAGTGATAGAATCAGACACTGTCAGCATGGATGTACAAAGGGGAAATCATGCTTGAAAAATCTACTGGAATTCTTTGAGGATGTAACTCATAGAAGAGATGAGGGGGAGTCAGTGGACGTTGTTTATTTGGACTTTCAGGAGGCTTTCGACAAAGTCCCATGTAAGAAATTAATGTGTAAAACTAAAGCACGTAACACTGAGATAGTGAATTGAAATGGATTGAAAATTAGTTGGCAGACAGGAAACAAAGCGTAGGAATAAAGGGGTGTTTCTCTGAATGGTAGGCAGTGACTTGTGGGGTATTGTAGGGATCAGCGCTAGGACCTCAGCTATACATAACATATGTTAATGATTTAGATGAGAGAACTGCTCCTATCTTCAATGTCTCTTTGTTTCTATGTACGTATGTCAGTGTAGCTTTAAGAGACACAGAATATGAGATAGTAGGAACTGCCGATGCTGGAGTCTGAGATAACAAGGTGTGGAGCTAGGGGAAATGGGGGAGGGGAACAGGGCTCTGGAATAAATAGAGACAGGGGGCACGGTGATAGTAGGTAAATAGTGGAGTGGATAGGTGGGAGATAAGACGAACAGGTCAAGGAGACGGAGATGAGGCTAGTAAAGGTGAGTGTAGGTAGGAGGTGGGGGTGGGGATTGGTCAGTGAGGTAGGAGGAGCGGATAGGTGGGAGAGAAGGCGGACAGGTCAAGGAGGCGGGGATGAGAGGGGGTGCTGGTCTTGGGATGAAGTCGGGGGTGGGGAGATTTTGAAGCTAGTAAAGTCCACATTGAGACCATTGGGTTGTAGGCTTCCAAGACGGAATATGAGGTGTTGTTCCTCCAGTTTCCAGGTGGCATTGTAGTGACACTGGAGGCGGCCCAGGGTGGTCGTGTCATAGCCACTTCAACTCCCCCTCCCACTCCATGTCCATCCTGGAGTGGGAGGGGGAGTTGAAGTGTCCATGTCCATCCTGGGCCTCCACACAGTATATGAGTATGCTTTTAAGAGACACAGTATGTTGTTGTATCTTTAAGAGACACGGTAGGTAAGTATACCTTTAAGAGACACAGTATTTTGGTGTACCTTTATGCTGATGACATCACTGCACCATAGTGTGTAAGCTGAGGGTATAAAGATCTTAGATTCCATTTTACCTCAGGTTACTTGAAGCATGACACTCTACTGCAAGTATGCTGCTGTGTTTTAAACTCAGTTTAATTTCAGATCAGGCACTTGTGTGCCTCAGGAATGTAATGATGTATAAAGTAGTTAGATGTAACAGACTGAAATAAAACAAAGAATTACGGACACTGGAGATTTGAAACAAAAACAGAAATTGCTGACGAAACTCAGAAGGTCTGGCAGCATCTTTGGGAAGAAAGCAGAGTTAATGTTTCCAGTCTGGTGACTGTTCATCACCTGTTCTGATAAATATTCACCAGACTCAAAACTCTGCTTTCTTCCCACAGACGCTGCCAGAACTGCTGACTTTTGCCAACAATTTCTATAGTTGTAATAGATGTCTATTGGATTCTTCAATACCCATGCCCAGTTTTTTTTAAGTTATGGGAGATAATGCAATTATTGTGTTATCAGGTAATAAACCCTGTTAGAGGCAAAATCACAGCAGACCCTGCCCAGAAAGGAAAAACAAACAGTAAACCTTGTGAATGGTGTAGATTGATTCGATTTACCTTGTATACCTCAGAACAGTGCTCCAGTATGACCAGTAGATTCATGTCCAAATCTTACTGTTTCTTTACTGGATTTTCCTCTGGGCAATTGTTAGGGTGCAGCTGGGATCAAAACTATTGAGTTGAGACCATGTCGTTCAGGAGTACGGTCTCCGTGTCCCTGGCCCAGCAAATAGTACAGCTGCTATCGAGACACCTGAAACCTCCCATCCCTCTGTTACAATCAAAGTCAATATTTACAGCAAACACATTGTACTCGAGACTAACTGGAGAGCACATGTGTAAAGACAGAGGCACCTACAGCAGTACACAACTAACACCTGCAGACAGATGCAACAAACAGATAGACACCCACACACAAACACACACACACACACACACACACACAGGCACAGAGACAGACACACAAATACACACACAGAGGCACGCACAGATGCACACACCGATGTACACATACAGTTAACTGGGGAAATGTCAAAGTTGGTGTGTCTGGAGATCTGTTTCAGTGTTCTGTTTTCCATCATAATATCAGAAACCTGCACAGAGGAATAGAGACTGTTTATCCAGTGCTACAACTGACATTAAATTTGAGAGTCATAGAGATCTATAGCACAGAAAAAGGCTCTTTGGCCAATCATGTCCAATTACCTAACTATTCTAATCCCATAATCCTGATGCCTTGGCATCGGAAGTGCACATCGAAATACTTCTTAAATGTTATGGGGGTTTCTGCCATTACCCCCCTTACAGGCAGTGATGTCCAGATTCTACCACCCTCTGGGTGAAAATGTTTTTTCTCACATTTCCTCTAAATCTTCTGCCCTTTGCCTTAAATCTATGCCCCAGGTCATTGATCCCACCATCAAGGGGCAAGGTTATTTCCTGTTTACCTCATCTGTGCCCCTGATAATTTAATGCATCTTAATCATGGCCCCTCTCAATCTCCTCTATTCTAAGGAAAATAACCCTAATTCTATTCAATCTCACCTGATAACTGAAACTCTCCAGCCCAGGCAACATCCTGGTAAATCTCCTTCACACCCCTTCCAGTGCTATCACATCCCACCTATAACGTGGATTCCAGAACTGAACACAATGCTCTAGCTATGTCCCAATCAGCATTTTATACAGTTCCAGCACAACTTCCTGTTCTTAAACTCATGCCTCAGCTAATAAAGGCAAGTATCCCATTTGCCTTTTTAACGACTTTATTCACCTTTTCTGACATCTTAAAGGACTGGTGAACATGCACACCAAGGTCCCTCTGATTTCAGTGCTTCCCAGGGTTCATCATGTATTCCCTTGCCTTGTTTGTCTCGCCCAAGTACAGCACTTTACATTTAGTTAGATTAAATTCCAGTCTATTAAGTTACAAAAAGATATACAGTCACAGTTGAGAGGAAACACTCTGACAAATGGAGTTCAATGCAGAGAAGAGAAAGATCATCCACTTTAGATCCAAGAAAGACAAATATTTAAATGTCAAACGCTGTATGGCACTGAGACATTTCAGAAATTACCAAAGATGAGTTTGCAGGTATAAAGCAACACTGGAATAGGCGAAGGGAAATGTTTTAATTTCAATGGTCCTGGAATATCAAAGGGAGGTTGTGTGCTCTAATTGTAGCTTTAGGCTTCATTCAGAATCCTGAGTTCAGTTCCAGGTGCTGACCATCAAGCACAATCTTAATGCGAGTGAAAAAGTGGGTGTGTTAGTGTGAAAGTGTGTGTGAGGCAGATTGGAAGGTAGATTATAGGGACAGGCAGATGAGACTTGTAGCAGACTTGTGTTTCCTTTAAGGGCTAGTAAGACCATAAGACTATAAGACATAGGAGCAGAAATTAGGTCATTCGGCCCATCGAGTCTACTCCGCCATTCGATCGTGGCTGATAAGTTCCTCAACCCCAATCTCCCGCTTTCTCCCTGTAACGCTTGATCCCCTTGATAATCAAGAACCTATCTAGTAGTAGGGAAGATGACCTGATTGATGTAAAATGATAAAGGGATTTGGGTAGATTACAAAGAATCTATTTCCTCTATTAAAATGATCTGGGATAAAGGGCATAACCGTAGAAGTAAAGTCACCTTGGTCCCAGAGGGTTGCTCTAAGATGACTGGTGGTGGTTTAACCTAAAGGTCACCATGTCTCAGTTGGTGGGTGAAGGTGAGAAGTTAAGACATCATGGTAACCTCAGCTGGTGCAGGAATTAAACCCATCACTCTGTATTGTAAACCAACAATCCAGCCAACTGAGCTATACCAACTCCCAAGCACTCCATGCTTGGTGGTTTAAAGGAGGGACTTCGGCAGTACCATTTCAAACAAAGGGTTGTGGAAATCTGAAATTCCGTCCCTCCCCATCTCCGTCCCTGTCTTCATCTCCATCTCTATCCAGGCTGTGGACACAGAGTCATTGACATTTTCAAAAGGGATGGGATTTTTATTTAGCAAGAGCTGGGCAATCAGCACAGAATACCCAATCTTTCTTCTTCATATACGGACTCTCTTATACACACTTCTAATGACACACACACACACACACACACACACACACACACACACACACACTCTCTCTCTCATATACTCATATACAAACTGCCACTAAAACACACTCTCACTCACTCACACTCTCTCTTTCTTACACACAAATACATTCACAATACGACACACACTCTCTTACACACATTTGGGCCATCACACAGACATCCCACTCCACAGATACACACATTCACACACACACACACACACACCTACCTACCCACCAATGTGTGGGCCAACATTGTCCTCATCAGGCCCCTTATAATTTGTTTTTCTCAAAAGCACTCACCGGGCACTTCCAGTTTTTCTGCAAGCCGTTTGCCGAACTCACTTGCACACCAAACACATTCGTCCATATCAACATTCCGGACTGGAATAAAGGGACAAACGTCCAGAGCACCTAATCTGGGATGTTCACCTAACAGCAAAAATTGTCAAATTAAAATCAAAGCAGTTTGAAATTCTTAACCATCCAAAACGGTGCACTTGGAAAAGAACAAAAGAAATTGAAACATTGATCCAAAACAGGAGAATAACAGACTAATTCCAAGTTAGAGAGGGGCTTATTTTAATTACCCAATTCCAAATCATTATCACATAGGGATTCTATGCCCCTTGTCCAACAAGAGAATTTAACCATTGTCCTTTGACATTCAATTGCATTACAATTACTGAATCCCCTCCCATTATTGTATCCTGGAGTGTTATCATTGACCAGAAACTCAACTGGACCTGCTGTATAAATACCAAAATAAAAGAAAAGAATTGTGGATGCTAGAAATCTGAAACAAATAAAAACAAATTACTGGAGAAACTCAGCAGGTGTGGCAACATCTGTGGAGAGAAAAAAATGAAAATGTTGAGTCCTGTGATCCTTCTTCAGAACTAATAGCAGCTAGGAAAAGGAGCTCCTAACAGGGGGTGGGGGAGAGAGATAAAAAAAAAGTGGGCAGATAAGAGGCGTGTTGCTGTAGTAAGCCCGGAAGAAGAGAGACTAGATAGGTTCTGCTGGAAAGTGACAATGGTGGCTAGGGCCTACCCCCTCTGACACCACATGATTGAAGGTTGCCATGGAGACAGGTGGTATAATTAATAAGATGAGCAGTGGAAACTGGTATACCCACAATCCCACAGAGGGAACCCTCCAATCAACCCCTTGGAAAGGACAGCTCATCAAAATATAGGAGGTTTCAGCCTCTTGTGGGTATTTCAAAATTTAATGGTCTAAACCTAGGCCAACACACTGCTTAAATCAGACCCACCGAGCACAGCCTGTCTGCCACTGAAGAGTGTAAAAGGAGCTGTTTAAATCTATATGCCCAATCTGCATGGAATTTATCCTGAATCAATCACAGACAGGAAAGGTCATTATTATCTAGCAAGATTTGTCGAGGGTCACAATTCCAAGCTGAGTTACTGTCAGAGTTTATCACACACACTGGGCTGATCATAATGTGTTTCAGCTTAAAGCAAGTTGTCGTATAAACATTGCACTTTTGTGCTTGCACTCACCTACACACCAATGTTGACAGACTGAATTTGGGTCCACAGGATTGTGTGGAACAGGAATGCTAAGGAGCACAGTCTTGTGGAAACCAAAAGAACTGCAGATGCTGTTCTGCGGAAGGGTCACCGGACCCCAAACGTTAACTTTGTTTTCTCCTTCACAGATGCTGCCAGACCTGCTGAGCTTTTCCAGCAACTTTGTTTACAGTCTTGTGGAAAACTCCTGACCTCATTACAGCCTTGGTTCAAACATGGACAAATGAGCTGAATTCCAGAGAATGTGGTGAGAGTGACAGCCCTTGATATCAAGGCTGCATTAGATTGAGTGTGGGATCAAGGAGCCCTAGCAAAACTGGAATCAATGGGTATCAGGGGGCAAACTGTCCAGTGGTGGGAGTCATATCTGTCACATAGGAAGATGGTCATAGTTGTTGGAGGTCAATCATCTCAGCTCCAGGACATCTCTGCAGGAGTTCCTCAGGGTAGTGTCCTTGGCCCAACATCTTCAGCTGCTTCATCAACGTCCTTCCCTCCATCATAAGGTCAGAAGTGGGGATGTTCACTGATGATTGCACAATGTTCAGCACAATTCATGACTCCTCAGATACTGAAGAAGTCTGTGTTCAATTGCAACAAGATCTGGACAATATCCAGGCTTGGGCTGACAAGTGGCAAGTGACATTTGCGCCACACAAATGCCAGGCTATGACCATCACCAATAAGAGACAATCTAACCACCACTCCTTGACATTCAACGGTGTTACCATCATTGAATCTTCTACTACTTACATCCTGGGGGATATCATTGACCAGAAACTCAACTGGACTTACTGCATAAACACAGTGGCTACAAGAGCAGATCAGAAGCTATGAATACTGCGGTGAGTAATTTACCTCCTGTCTCCTTAAAACCTGTCCACCATCTACAAGGCACAAGTCAGGAATGTGACAGAATACTCTCCACTTGCCTGGACGAATGCAGCCCCAACCACACTCAAGAAGCTTGACACCATCCAGGATAAAGCAGCCCACTTGATTGGCACAACATCCACAAGAATCCACTCCCTCCACCACTGATCCTCAGTAGCAGCAGTGTGTACTATCTACAAGATGCATTGCAGAGATTCACCAAAAATTCTCAGACAGCGTCTTCCAAACCCATGACCAGTTCCATCTAGAAGGACAAGGGTAGCAGAAAGATGGGAACACCACCACCTCCAAGTTCCCCTCCAAGCCACTCACCATCCTGGCTTGAAAATATATCACTGTTCCTTCACTGTTGCTGAGTCAAAATCCTGGAATTCCCTTTCTAATGGCATTGTAGGTCAATGTACAGCAGGTGGACTGCAGCGGTTCAAGATGGCAGCTCACCACCACCTTCTCAAGGGCAACTAGGAATGGGCAAAAAATGTTGGCCAGCCAGCGATGCCCACATCCCACAAATGAATAGAAAAAAACATAGTCAGTGAGGAGCAAACTCCACTCTGGATTATAAACACTGTAGGGGATTGCACAGAATTTAAAGAGGACCCCTCAATCCTCAACTCCTCCTTTAGCATCAGTGTGCTACTGATCAACCAGGCAGGTGTCACTTGTCTGACAAGCCACCCACCAGCTCACCTCTGTGCATTGTCATGTCGATGAGGTCAAAGGCCACTTGTGCAGCATTCAATGCTCCCTCCACCACAGCCTCAGGAGAACCGACAAACGTATAAACTGTCCGGTTAGTGGAGGGACCAGGATCCACATCCAACAGAGAACAGCCATCAGTCCTTGAAATAGCATCAGCGATAGCATCAATAACCTAGCAGTAAGAATTAATGGAGAGAAACAGTTACAGCTAAAACACATCAAACAACAATGTAGGGACTTATAAAACCGGAGAGATATACAAGTCAGACACTAAATAAAAACCGAAAGAACTGCGGATACTGTAAATCAGGAACAAAATCAGAAGTTGCTGGAAAAGCTCAGCATGTCTGGGAGCATCTGTGCAACAAAAATCAGAGTTAATGTTTTGGTCCAGTGTCCCTTCCTCAGAACAGGTGGTGAGGAAGGGTCATTGGACCCAAAACGTTAACTCTGATTTTTTCTTCACAGATGTTGCCAGACCTGCTCAGCTTTTCCAGCAACTTCTGTTTTTATACAAGTCAGACACGTGTCTCAACAAATCCAGGATACACAAGTTGGCACCTTGTATGTTGTTATGATGCCAGATGCTGTTTATATATAGACAGGTCTGATCCCAGGGGGAAAATTGGCTTGTCAGAATTCTTAGCTTTTGTTTTGAGGCAATGTTTGCTGACAATTGCAACTTACCTACGAATGCACATGGATCCAAACACAGTATGTCATCGCATGTGATGTCATGTACACATGTAGTAATGTGCATGGGGAGGGTAACGTGTGCGATTTGGAAGTAGGTGTGCAGATGTTGGTGTGGAGGTGTGGGTGTGGGCATGTGGACGTGGGTGTATGGGTTCGTATGTGGGTGTGGGCATGTAGGTGTTGGCATATAGGTAGGGGTGTGAGTGTTGGGGTGAGTGGGTGTGGGTGTGTGGGTGTGAGTGTGGTCGGGATAGAGGGATGTGGGTGTGGGTGGCAGTGGGGAGACAAGGTGGGCTCATGGCCCAGAAGGTCCTCTGCCCCGTCTGTCTTCTTCCATGCTTCCCACCAGCCTCCCTTCCTCCCCCTTCACCACCTGTCCCCCAAATCCCTCCCCAAACCCCATCTCCATTGCAGTTGTCTCTGAGGTGTTGACGCTACTTCCTCAAGTCCAGATTTCTGCACCACCCAACCACAGCCCCCAACACTTACCTCCACTCTTGCACTACCCCCCAGCCCCACAGAATTCCTGCCGTAGCAGATGCTGAGAGAATTGCCCTGGAAATTGAGGATTCTGTTTGAAATTCCCCAGTGCCTGTAATTCTTGGAAATTCTCCATTTAAATCAGAGAGTTTAGAAGGTTCACTGCAGTTAGGCAAATAATTACTCGGGAACGGTTAGATAATTAATATCCTGCTCTAACTCCCAGATAACTATTAAACTGAAGCCTCGACTTACACAGATTCCTTCCAATGATACCTTACCCTGACCTCTTACATACCTTGGACCCTGGCCTGACACTGCCATCACCACTTGGGACATGAAATCCCAGAACCCACCACTGGACATGACAATCTTCCCTCTTTCCCCAGTAGACATCAGACCTCCTCTCCCTCTGGGACCTGCTTCCACCTCCTCAAGCTGATAACCCCCTCTCCATCATAGAATCATATGTACAGAAGAGGCCTTTCAGCCCATCGAGTCTGTACTGCCAAAAATATCTACACTTGCCTGCATTGGGCCTATAGCCTTGAATGTTATGACACTTCAAGTGCTCCTCCAAGTACTTTTTATAGGTTGTGATGTTTCTTGTCTCAACTCCCCTCCTGGGCAGTGCATTCCAGATCCCACCGTCCTCTGGGTAAAAAACCTTTGCGTCAAATATCCTCTAAACCTCCTGCCTGACTTGATACCTCTCTCTCCCTCTGAGACCTAACATACCCTCTCTCTTTCTCTCCATCTGTGACCTGACATACGTTTTCTCTGTCTCTATCTGGGACCTGACACACACACACACACACACACTCTCTCTCTCGCGCTTTCCCTCTCTATCTCTCTGTCTGGGAATTTGCACCTCTTGCAAAATCCAGCCTATCCTTTGTTGGCTTTTCAAAGCCTGTCAGAGAAAGAACACCAGAAGAAGGTGGCTGTTTTGTTTGGTCCACCATTGAGAGGCCATGAAACACACTGACTTCTGTGGGTGGGGGAAAGGCTGGTTCTATGAAAGCTGAAGCCAGGGTGGGGTTGTTTCATGTGGGCTGGCTACCCACACTGCTGAACATTACCAGAATCGAGAATGGGATAGGAATCCTGAAGCCAAGTCCTCCTGGTTCCCTGAGTTAGCCCAACTCAGCAAAAACCCAGGCCCCTCGCTTTGAATTGTGGCACCGGGGCATAGTTTCTCTCTATCTACCTGATCAAATTCTATAGCTGTCTTCAACTTTCAATTATTCTAGGTATTGCACTGAGAAATGAACTGCAGAAAACCTGTCACCTAGTTGAAACAGGAGGAGCATATGTACATATTTATTCTGTTCTCAATGAACCAGAGCCCTGTGTATTCATATATGTACTAGATATATATTACTACATATATGTATTACATGTAATTATTATATACAAGTAAATCATAATGCCTATAGAATCACCTGCTGCATTCAACATAGCTACACCACACCAATGAGAATCCACTTGCTAACTAATCAGCAGTCTCCTCTCGTACAATACAACTTTTTTCTTTAAATTAGCATTCTTGCAAATTGTCCTGGTGAGGGTAAGACAATAAAACTTCAACAAAATATTATATAATTATAATTCCTGAGACCTGGTTCTAAAGAGGCGGGGAAGAGGGTGATTAAATAGTTAGAACATATAACATGGAACATTAAAGCACAGTACAGGCCCTTCGGCCCATGATGTCGTGCCGACCTATTATCCTACTAAGATCAATCTACGCTGCATACCCTATATTTTACTATCCTCCATGTGCCTACCCAAGAGTCGCTTAAACGTCTCTAAAGTATCTGACTCCACTACCACTGCTGGCAGCACATTCCACATGCCCACCACTTTCTGTGTAAAGAACATACCTCTGACATCTCCCCTATATCTTCCTCCAATCACCTTAAAATTATGCCCCCTCGTAATGGTCATTTCCACCCTGGGAAAAAGTCTCTGACTATCCACTCTATCTATGCCTCTCATCATCTTGTACACGAGATGTTAATATCTCTGTTCCAGTTAATATCTCTGGAATTTTATCCTCTTGTTAGAAATTGCAAGTTGGGTCATTTTGCAGTGCACATTGATTTTCCAGCAGCACATTTTATGTGCGGTGTGGGGTGTATATGCTCATGTCTTTGGAAGTGAAAGGACAGTTTCACAATGCATAAGAAAGAGAATGAGATGTATAAAGAAAAGTATAGGTCAGGAAAACTGGGAAATTTTACTGAACCAAAACAAACAACTATTTTGAGCCTGGCTAGAATGTATTTTGATCTCTGGGAGGGATGTAACAGCTTCAGAGAGGCTGTAGAACAGATTGACTAGAAGAGGTTTCAATGGCGGGCTTATAGAAAATTCAATCAGTTGGACAGGGCAATTGTCTTTCTCAGATCAAAGGAAGAGAAGAGATTAGATAAAGTTGATTAAGTTTTTTGATTAATCACTAGCCTTCAAAAAGCAATTGGATATAAATATGAAAGAGAAGAAATTGCAGTGGAAAGGAGCAGGAAGGTAGAGCTAACATTTCAAAAAAGCTGGCAGGGTGTGATGGGCTGAATGATCACCATTGCCATGCTATTCTGGGATGCTCCAGCACAAGAGACAGGTATCAGTGGGTGACAAAAAAATCAGAAACGGAATTCTGCCCATTTCGCATCTCCCTAACCTAGGAAGCTAATATGTCTGAATCCTGAAATCCACTAATTAATTTCTGACTGTGAAATGATTTTGGGATCACCTCTGTATAGTTAGCAGCTCATCAGCTTAAACTAATGCTGGTCTTACTGTGTCTTCAGATAGATCTCTACATATAGTCTTGGTGGGATAGCTGGTAAATTACTGCGCAACCACTAATCCCAGCCTTACCTCCTTATTCTGCCCATTGGAGAAATTTGGTACACACTCCACAAGCCGGGCCATGATTATCCAACTATCCGTTAATTCCTGCAAAGAAGCAGATTGTAGTTAACCCTCTGCAGAGCACGGTGGCCGATTCACTCTGCACTTGCAGCTATTCATTATGACAATCCTTACCTTTAATGTATGTGTGCGTGTGTCTGTGTGTTCACTTTATAGCCTCACTGATGTTCTCACAGTCTATCAATGAGTTACTACAGGAACAGGGTCCTGACGCAACATCTGATTTACCGGATTGGTGGATACTAACACTTAAAGAAGCACAACTCCACAGTACCAAATTACAACATGAATTACTTTACTTTCAAGTTGGCCTTTCATTCATATTTTACTTTTGCCCTTAGTCTTAGGGTAGGAGCCAAGGCAAGCACCAAGAATCAGGGTGATCACATTAGCTCTGATGAAGACTCATCTGGATTCAAAACATTAGCTTTCTCTCTCTCCATGGATGCTGCCTGACCTGCTGTGATTTCCAGCACTTTTTTTTCAGGACAGATTCTAGCATCTGCAGTAATTTGCTCCTACAAGGATCAGAGGGTCCTTGGTGTGCATGTAAACTGGTCCCTTAAGTTATCAGGACAGGTGAATAAAGTGTTTAAGAAGTCATATGGGATGCTTGCCTTCATTAGCTGAGGTATAAAGCTTAAGAGAAGGGAGGTTAGGCTGGAGGTATACAAGATCAGAAGTCACATGACACCAGGTTATAGTCCAACAGATTTATTTGAAATCACAAGCTTTCAGAACTCATGGTGGCTAGGAAAATATCGTTTTTTATGCAGAAAATGGGATTGGAGTAGGGGGTAAGGAGTAAATGATAGATGGAGATAGAGCCCAAAGAGAGAGAACAGTTGGACAAAGGAGTGGAGAACGATCAGGCTGGGAGGGTCATTACCTATTAATGGTGACTGTTATTGGCAACCTCCCAGCCTGATTGTTAACCCCTCCCCTCACCCAACCTTCTGCATAAAATCAACATTTTCCTAGCTACCATTAGTTCTGAGTAAGGGTCACTGGATCTGAAATGTTAACTCTGATTTCTCTCAACAGGTGCTGCTAGACCTGCTGAGATTTTCCAGCAATTTCTGTTTTGTTTCTGATTTCTAGCATCCGATCCCTGGATGATGAGGGAGGTTGTGAATTTAGTCAGAAGGGAAAAAGAGGCATATGTAGTTTAGGAAGCTAACACAGGATAGGGCCGTGAGGTATGTAAAGAAAGCAGGAAAGATCTCAAGTAGGAAATTAGAAGAGCAAGAAGGGGCCATGAAATGACCTTGGCAAGTAGGGGTAAAGAGAATCCCAAGGCATTCTATACATATATTAAAAACAAAAGGATAACTAAGGAGAATGTAGAACACTCAAAGAAAAAGGAGGGAACTTGTGCTCGGAGACAGAGGATGTGGGTGAGATCCTAAATGAGTGCTTTGCATCAGTATTCACCTAGGAGAAGGATATGGAGGATAGTTGAGATCAAGAAAGAAGTGGTGTTGGGTCTCTTGAAGAGCATTAAGGTGGATAAGGCCCCAGGGTCCAATGGTATCTACCCCAAGTTGATGAGAGATGCAAGAAAGGAGATTGCTGGGGCCTTGACCAAGATCTTTGTATCCTTGCTATCCACTGGAGAGGTCCCAGAGGACTGGCGTGTAGCTAATGTTTTCCTCTGTTCAAGAAGGGAAATAGGGATAATCCAGGAAACTATATACCGATGAGTCTCACACCAGTGTTGGGAAACTATTGGAGAGAATTCTTAGGGATAGGATTACATGTATTTGGAAAAGCATGGTCTAATTAGAGACAGTCAGCATGGCTTTGTGCTTGCAAGGACATGTCTTACTACACAAAAACAGAAGTTGCTGGGAAAGCTCAGCAGGTCCGGCAGAACCTGTGAAGAGAAATCAGAGTTAACGTTTCTAGTCCACTGACCCTATCTCAGAACATTTTTGAGCTTTTCCAGCAATTTCTGTTTTTGTTTATGATTTACAGCATCCACAGTTCTTTCGGTTTATATTTTTCATGTCCTACTAACTTGATAGAATTTTTCAAGGACATGATGAAGGTAAGCAATGAAGGTAGAGCAGTGTATGTTGTCTACATGGATTTTAGTAAGGCTTTCAACAAGGTCCCTCACGGTAGGCTCATGGAAGATTAAGACACATGGGATCTATGGTGATTTGGCCGTGTGGATTCAGAATTGGCATGCCCATAGAAGGCAGACAATAGTGGTGAAAAGATGTTTTTCTGGCTGGAGGTCTGTGACTTGTGGTTTTCTGCAGGAATCTGTACTGGGACTTCTGCTGTTTATGATATATATAAATGACTTGGATGAAAATGTTGATGGGTGCATTAGTAAGTTTGCAGATGACACAAAGATCATTGGAGCTGTGGATAGTGTAGAAAGTTGTGAAAGGACACAGTGGGATATAGATCAGTTACAGATATGGTGGAGAAAAGGCAGATGGAGTTTAATCCATGTAAGTGTGCCATGCTGCACTTTGGGAGATCAAATGTTAAGGAAAAGTATACAGTTAATGACAAGATTCTTAACAGCACTGATGTACAGAGGGATCTTGGGGTTTAATTTCAATAGCTCCCTGAAAGTGGTCATGCAAGTAGATAGGGTGGTAAAGAAGGCAAATGGCATGCTTGCCTTTATTGGTGGGCAAATTGAGTACAGGAGTTAGGACGTCATGTTGCAGCTTTATAAGACTTAGATTAGGCCTTACTTAGAGTATTGCGTTCAGTTCTGGTTGTTGCACTACAGGAAGGATGTGGAGGCTTTGGAGAGGGTGTAGAAGAGATTTACAAGGATGCTACTTGGATTAGTGGGTATGAGCTATAGGGAGAGGCTAGAAAAACTTGGGTAGTTTTCTCTGGAGTAGCAGAAGCCAAGGGGAGACTTGATAGAAGATTATAAAATAATAAGATGCAATCTTATTATTTTATAAGATCTGAATCTTTTTTCCCAGAGTTGAAATGTCCAATACTAAGGTACATGCATTTAAGGTGAGAGGAGGAAAGGTCAAAGGAGATGTAAGGGACAAGTTTTTATTACACAGAGGGTGGTAGGAGTCTGGATCGTGCTGCCAGGGTGGTGGTGGAGGCAGATACGAAAAGGGCATTTAAGGGACTTTTAGATAAGTACATGAATATGCAAGGAATGGAGGGATATGGACCAAGAGCAGCCAGAAGGGATTAGTCTAATTTGGTGTCATGTTCGGCACAGCATTGTAGGCCGAAGGGCCTGTTCCTGTGCTGTACTGTTCTACGCTCTGCAAGAAGGTTTCTGGGGAGACATCAGTCTCGCTAATATCAAGTACATATTACTGCTAAAGTATTTGCACTCAGATCTGGTAATAAACTCTCGACTGGTTAATTGCCACTAGGAATGGTCTTTTAAATGCAGATGGATGCACTTACCCCACAACATCTGTTAACCTTTTAGGTACCGTTTGTCTTATACAACTGATCGTAGTCATCCCCATCCCCTCTGTACCCACCCACTATTCATATCTCTCCTTCCCTCCTACTTCTCCCCCATTGTCTCACAAGTTGGAAAGCAACCCATCAATACCCACCCCTACCCACACATCACATTCGTTTAGTTCCTCCCCTGACGGTGCCACGACTGTGAAGCACCTTGGCATTTTTTTATGACACCATAGGTTCTAGATGTTATTGTCATCTTTCACAAATGCTTTCTACTGTATAAGAAAATACACTTCAGGAAATCTACATTGCTTCCCAAGTAAGTAGGTGCGATTGCAAAGACTGGGGAAGTGGTTTCTTGTCCAGTGAGCATATTGTCCAGTCAATAACTGTTAATCAAAAACCTCAAGGGCAATCTTTTGACCTTTGTTCTGTTAAGTCCAATGTTGATAATGGATCAAAGATTAATCACATTACCTAAACAGTAATCTTTATTTCAAAAATAGAAAGCTTTTTTTTCATTACAACACTCACAGTTGGTTCAAGTAAAATGTTAAAAGTGAACTTTGCTCCTCATGTACAATCAATGCTCTAAGTAGCTATTGTGACCACTTCCATGACAAAAAAGGAATAATATTCATGATACTTGTCAGCCACGATTCAATTCTTGAACATGAATGTAAAATGAATTTCAAACTATGGCTTTAAAGTATAGTGCAGAGCAGACTAGATGAGCTGATTGGTCTAATCTTGCTCCCATATCTTATGGCCCAAACTGAACCTACCACATGAAGGTCGATTGCTGAAAATTGCAGTTTGACTGTTTCTTCATGACCCGAAAGGTACAGCAGCTAAATTACATGGCCATCAAACTCCAATTTTTTCTTGAATCTCTGACTTGTACCTGCCATAGAATTTTATAAAATCATGAGAAGTATACTTAGGGTTAATGGTAAGCGTCTTTTCCCTAGGATGAGGGATTTCAAGACTAGGGGGCACGTTTTAAGGTGAAAGGAGAGGATTTAAAAAAGACTTGTGGGACAATTGTTTTACACAGAGCATAGTTTGTGTGTGTAATGAACTTTCTGAGGAAGTGGTGGATGTGGGCACAATTACAGCATTTAAAAGACATTTGGATAAGTACATGAATAGGAGAGGTTTGAGGGATATGAGCCAGGAGCAGGCAGGTGGGACTAGTTTAGTTTGGGATTATGTTAGGCATGGACTGGTGGACTGAAGTATCTATTTCTATGCTATCTGACTCTGACTGTTTGAAGTAATCACAAAATACTGTGGGTGCTGGATGGCAGAAATATAAATAAATAGCCATTATGTCCAGCTGCATTTGGAGGGAGAATTGGAGTTAATGTTTCAACTTCTTCAGAACTGAAAGAAGGTCAGATTGTATCCATTAAAACCATTAGAGGTAGGGGCAGAAATAGGCCATTCAGCCCATTGAGTCTGTTCCTCTATTCAATGAGATCATGGCTGATCTGATAATGTCACTTTCCTGTCTTATCCCTAGATCCCTTGATTCCCTCACTGACAGGAGGAACACAGAAAAAGAATTATCTGGGACAGGGTAGAGGGCAGGAGAGATTAAAAGATATTGCTGTCATGGATGGAAAGTCATTGGGACTGGTAATACTTGTAATAAAGAAACAAAGCATTGGCCTAGAGTGTGTGTGATTGGCACAAAAATGAATGGCTTCATCCAA